GAAAAAATATCTGGCATTAAGAAAGAATTCTCTGAATAGATTCTTCAACTAAAGACATAAATTAGAGAAAGATGGTGCAGAATTTATCCCACCTGACTTCAAACACCAGCCAATGCGATGTCTCCCATCCAAGCAGTTTATACAAAACTCCCTTTACAGACAGTGGAAAGAATATATGATTCTTCTCACTTATTTGAGAGACCTGCTTTAGAATGACATGACTTGTGCCCTAGTGGTACTTGTTTCTCTCCATTTCCAAGACAGGAGTTTCAGTGATTAGCTCAGATGGAGACATCTGCATGTGGCCTCATAACTCCCAGCCAGGGAGTTGTCTTGTGTTTTACCTCCCATTAAGCACCATGCAGGAGGTTGATTGCCATTTTCATATGTGGAAGGATTTTTTTCCCCAGGCAGCTAAAGTGGCACATGACTATAAGGGGTTCTTTTTCACATACTACCTTGCAATCAGGAGGGCTGGCTTTGGGTTGATTTACAATTGTTGGATTGGCTTTTAGTGCACTTCTTTATTCAAAATTGTCCAGTGGAGGTCACCAAGCCAGCAGACTAAAATTTTGATCACCATTTGTATTGTGATTTAAAATGGTAAAGAGCTTCTGTTAAAAACTGGCTCAGTTTTTAACAGAAGCTGTAGTTCTTTCCATCTGCCTCTCTTCTCCATGCTGTGTGCACCAATGTCATTGGATGGATAATGGCTTCCCACAGAGGCCCTCAGCAGGGTGGAGGGCAGATTCACTCTTGGGATGTGATGGTGCCTGGTGAAATCTGCACTGGCTAACCTTGCTGGATAATCTAGAATACCATGGGAAAGGCTTCAGCTGCAGCTATTAACCATATCGCTTCTAACTGTAGTAGAGTGTCTAAGTCTCTTTTTCCTATCAGATGTCAGCTGTACCATATGAATGTAACAGAGGAGAAACAATAGCATAAAATGAAGTTACATTAACCTAAAAAATGGCGCATGTTTATTGCAAGTTAACAGTCCTTTACTGAACCCATAGGAAGTTGAAATGCTCACAAAAAAAAAAAAAAATGACATGAAGACAAGTGCACTATTTTTAAAATACAGCAGTCTGATAAGCCTTGAGCTACCTGAGGACAAAGCTACTACTGAGTTACAGACACATTCCAATGAGGAATTAAATTTTAATGTAGAAGGCTAGTGGTAGTTTCTTACAGGTCTTGACATCACTGAATCTTGCAGAGACAATGCTGAGAGCCAGAACTGTGCTCCTTGCTCACACATCTCACGTTAATTTTAAATTGAATAATCCCTCAGTAAAGACTGAATAAAAATTGTAGGGCATGGGCCTTACAGTATTTGAAACAGTGTTTTGGAAACCTGTGGAAGATGCTAAGTCTGAGAGGCTTGCATTCAGAGCTCAAACTCAAATCTTCCTTCATAAATATGGTTGATACTCTGGGGTTTTCATATCCTAAGGAGAAAATTTGATCTAAAATGAGTCGTGCAATATTTTACAAGGCATGCTTAACCTCACGCAAAGATTAAGAGGCAGTGTTATTGCCTGCAAAATCACCTGCTATTTCCAGGAAACAGTTGTTTGCTGGACCTGTCCTTGTCACTGGCATAAGTATAATGCTTTTAATAATCTCCCATTGCCTAAGTGATGTTTTTGCATCAAAATGATGGATATGCTATATAGCTGGCGGAACTTTTTAAGATGTACTTATTTCTTTCTTGTTCTTCTGCTGCCATCTAGAGGTTTTATTCTTAGCTTTATTCCCAGAAAAAAAAAACTATAATAAAGTGCTTTATTATATTGCAAAGTTGCCTTTAAAAATTGTCTGTTCCTTAACATCACTTAAGGTGCTATTATCACTGAACCTCTGTCTCCGTACAAGAGCAGATTAATGAAGTGTGTACAAGTTTTTGAGCTGTGGGATGCAAGTGAGCCTTATGGGCTGAGGTAAGACTTATACTAGAGGCAAATGCTGTCATAAAAAAAATCATCTCCTTATAAAAAGCACCTGTAAGCTGGCCTTAGGAGGATTTTTCATAAAACCTGTTTTCCAGCAAATAAACAGTAACATATCAAAGCAGCCTCAAAGTAAGCAGGTGCTTGGAGAAAAGGCAGCCTTGCCAGCCTTGCAGCAGAATGCCAACATGACAGGCACAGCTACGGCTTTGGCCCATCAGCACGACTGGCTGACATCTTATCTGCCTGGAATGACAAGGCAGCGATGCTCCATTTCATGCTAGCATTGCCCAGAAAAGCACAACATGGAACTCAGACAACATAAAACTCACCAGTGCGACACAAAATCATTCTAATAGAAACATTTCTTCTTAAAGGTAACAGAAACAGCTAGTTCACTGTATTGGGCTCCTGGCTTTCTAAAAATAATAGATTCACATGCAGTATAAATGAGTCCATCTCCCTTGACCACAGTGTGAATAGGTTAATTTGGCATCTGACCTTCTCGAGCAAATCTCACCTTCTTGTTTTGCCCCTTCAAATGTTTATTAATTAAACTAATGCTAACACCAGGTCTGTGGAGGGCATGTGCAAATGCTAATATGCCTCACCATGTACTTCATCTGAATAGATTACCAGAGCATCATTTTTGTCTCTCTGATATCTATCCAATAGTATTGCCCCTCCTGGCAACCAGGTGCACATAGCCTCTGAAAAGATAGTCCCTTTTAAACAGAGTAGAACAAATTCATTTCCTGGAACTGATAACAAGATTTTTAACTGCGTACAAAGGAACCAAATGTACACTGAACACTGAAATGTGTGAAAGAGTTTCTAGGAAGTCCTTAGCCTTTAGAATACAATGTTCCTGTGAATGATAATTTCTGTACTTCAGCAGAGGATTAGCTGTCATAATAAATTATTTCTGTTTGCCTGGAAGGAAATAAGTGAAACTTCTTTAACTAAGAAGGCAAGCAAAAGGTACAGCAGAGAAGAGACTAACCTTGTCTGCTGTGCCCAAGGATACCTCTGAAAAGCTGCCATAACATGCAGTAATTTGATAGTGTCAGCTAAAATTAACCTGTGTACTGTGTAGGAGATAAGAATAATATTAAATTCCTGCTGATACTCACTTTGTATGCTACAGAGACTGGCTATGATGTTTTGTGAGCCTGCCATAATAAGATTTTGAAAATCTTAAATACCTTTAATAGGAAATTAGAATAAAAAAGAAGAAAATAGGGTTTATTTTATTGAGACACTGAAGTTCTTGAGATGATGTATTCCTATAAAAAATATATTTTATTATTTGACAAATACTCAAATGGTAAATCCTTACTTTTCTTTGTGTCTTAAAATCTCCTAACTTAGCTACTTCGTGTTAGTACCATGTTCTTCAGTCATCGAACATCTTGGACACTTTCATTCAATGACCAGAGGCAGAATGTGGGTACCTAACCACAAGTTTTCACCCCCAAAAAAGTATTTTTTATCACCATTTAGTATAATTCCTAGCTGTTTATACTGTACTTAAATATTAAACTCACTATTCATTTGCTCTGGGTACAAATATATTTCAAAATGTTTTTATTTAAAATCAAATCATCTTTTAATAAAGTGTGATCAAAGGCTATTTCCCTTCCAGAGCTGGCCTGTTGTTTTGCATCATGACTACTTAGAGATATCAATGAGCTGCAAAGGAGGTTTGCAGTCTTTGGAGAATTTGAAACTACAGTGAATCTATTCTTATCATTACTTGTTCAAACCATCAAGTTCCTAACTAGTTTACACTGCCATGCCCTCAATCCCTCCTTGACTACTGAAAATTATGAAAAAATTCAAGAAAGGGAGAGAACCTCTCAAATCTAGCATTTAAAAGCCCGTGTGAGAAGCAGGATGCCTAGGTCTAGTCTCTTTTTCAGTCTGTTTACCCAGACAGGTAAAGTAAAAGACAAACAAACAAACAAACAAAAACATAAATAGAGGCAGCACTTCCAAATACAAACCAAATTCAGCATTAGTGTACTACCCTCGATAGTCAAAAATACTGGTTCAAATATCCATGGTTGGGAAGGAGGAAGGAGGGGATTGCTACTTTTTTGTCTCCCAGATGTGTGCTCCAGCCTACTGCATCTGACAGATTGTAAGTGGGTTTCTCATTTCATCTACTTTTCAACTTTCTCCAAAACAAAAAACATTGTGGTTCAAGTGAATTGGGTTCCAGACAAAACAATGAAACGTTTATATCACTGAAATACAATTTGAAAAAAGAAAAAAAGGAAACCCTGAAATTAAATTTGCTCCAAAACTGTCCATTTTCCTGGGTTTTTTTTTCAGTTTGTCTGCTATAGGCAGGCAGGGGAGGGGGGAGAGAAGTCAGAACAATTCTTTCTATATTTCCCACACTTAGGCTCAGAAGCTGAAACTCAGCATGAAAGACTCAGCATCAGCTTTCAGCAGTGACCTCAAACACAAATTTCTAGTCTGAACACTTGAGCCAATCTTTCATCCAGTTTCTTCAGTAAAGATTTTGCAGTGCCATTTCTTCGTGTGACCCCTCATCCAAGCTCCCATCTCCCACAACACTCCCTTTTAATCTTATTTATCCTAGAAACTGGAAGAAGTCACAAGAGAGGAGGGCTGCCTTCAATGTGTATTGCAAGTGTTACCATTAGAACTCTTGGCTGGAAGCTGCATAGCAATGAGCAAAATTTCTCCTAGGTATATAGGTGTTTTTTTATTGAACAGGGAACCTGATCCAAAAAAGCCATCACTGCAAACACTCAGTTATGTATTGTATGAGAGATATGTGCGCAACTGATGCTCATCCTATTTGAATGTTTCATAATAAGAATGTATTGAAAATTTTGCCTAGAAGAACATCACTTCACCCATGGAAAAGTTCCCTTGTTCTTTTCACTGAGAGGAGAATCAAATACATAATTATCTTAAGTGACTGAATTGTATACATATCTTCTTGTGCCGGTTTAAGCTTGACCTGTATTGTAAAAAATAAAATTAATATTGCAAGTGCCATCCAGTGACTGTGATTAACCATAATTTGCATTCTTTATTGAAAGTCGATAGACTGCATGCTACCAGCTGTGAAATTGTGCAATAAGCAATAATTAAACAATGAAGAGTAAATAGAACTAGTTAGGAGTGATTTAGAGTAGTGAGTAGCGAAGGTGACTTTTAAAGTTTTATTAGCACAAAGCAGAAAAAACAAAATACAGCCAGCCTATGGTTCCGTGAGTAAAGAGTGAACATTTGTAAAATGTCACAGTATTGACAGAACAATGTCATTTGTCACACTATTGATAGAACAAGAGTATCACTACTAAAGCAAGACTATTCACTAAACTTACAGGACCAAGGGCTTCAAAACCAAAAGGACCATCTCTAAATATCTAACTGCAGTTCACCACCTTTACTGATGGGACATTTGTTCTCAGAGGCTTGTTGGATTGCTTGGAGTTTGGGATTGTTTTTTTTTTTTGTTGTTGTTGTTGTTGTTGTTGTTTTCAGAGGATTGAAAAACATGAAAATGAAAATTTACTGTAAGTTTGTATGTTTTTGAAACTTGCCATCTCATGTGGGAACCCCTGGCAGGAATTTGTCTTTTCACTGTTTGCAAGTACTACTCTATTATATGCATTCAAAATGAGATTGTTGCAGATGTGTACAGCACCACAGCACAGCTACCTCTTTAAGCAAACTTAAAAACTCAGCTTCCCTTTGGACATTAAAAATTAATTTTGTGTGACAATAGCTCAAATACAGCACAGGTATTCTATTCTATTTGTCAAACATAGGGTGAAGCTCCACTTGTTACAGAATCTTCATTTGCCCTCAGGTTTGAGGACTTCTTCTGATGGTGGTATTGGCTTGGGTTTAGCAAGTTGACCAGGCTTAATTTCAGGCATTTTTTCACCATGTCTGTACACACTTATAGTGACATCCACTGTTTCCCCACCATACTTGTTCTTGACATGGATGCTGTATTTGCCTGAATCTTCTGAAGTCACCCCCTTGATGGTTAAACTGGCATATTTCCCTTGTTCCAGTGAAAATGCATAGTGCTCATCAATTTCAAAGGCCTTGTCATTCTTGAACCAAACCACTTCAGGGTCAGGATTTCCAAATACAGTACAGGTCAGATTCAGTGTCTGAGGGAGATAAACAGAAGTGATTTTGAGATCAGTAAGATTTGTTTAACCTCTGTATTGTTTTTAGGCATTTTTTATTCTTAGCTAATTAAACAAAGACATGGTATCATGTTCCTGAAGACGGAAAAGTAGAGTCCCTAATATTTCTTTTTCCCTTGATTCAGAATTTCCACCATCTCACCAGTTAACTGTAAGACAGCAATAGCCTCAGGGCTGCAGTGTCTGCAGACAGTAAGTTGGACTGTCATTGCAGTCCTGCCTGCAGGAGACTCCTGACAACCCATTAGTCTGACATGAGGTTCAGGCAATGATAGTTTTAAAAACATCCTTGAAGCCTCCCTGTACACAGCAGGGAGGAGAACTGAGCAAATCTTTCCTGACCAAGGCCTCCTGAGGTTATTGCTTGAGATTATTAAAAAAAAATCACTTAAAAATAGAATACATAACATGAATCACTGGACATCGATTCCAGGTGTGTCTGCCTGAAAAAGTGGAAATATTTTATGGAGAATAAATAATATACAAATACTGGTAGAGTGTTCTCAAAATCATAGAATGGTTTGGCTTAGAAGGCACAGTAAAGATCATCTGCTTGCTATCCCCCTGCCATGGGGATGGACATCTTCCACAGGCAGGGACACCTTCCTCTAGACAAGGTTGCTCACAGTCCTGTCCAATCTGGCCATGTGATTCATGCATGTGAGGCACATTCAGAAAATAGCCGACATCATGTAATGGACCATCCTGGCAGCTTAGCATTTCTCAAGGGCTGAACTGAGATTTAAGGAGCTTGTAAAATTTTCATGAGCATTCTTACAAATTTTTATAGATGTAATGCCGAACTCCATTTTGACCACGCTCTAAGTGTGTGTGCATAAGCTTCATGTATTTAGGTATAGTGATTACAGAAAAAATGAAAAAAATATCTGAGAAGTTGCATTGCTTAGTCTGTACCTTTTTTACCTTTGCTGAAAACTCACTGTGCACAAAATTTGGCCCTAGATAAAATCACCTTAAGAATTTAACATATGCAGCATTGTGTTAGGAAAAAAAAGGAAAAAGAAAACAGGAAAAAATAAAACAAAGAAAACCCCTAGCATAAACAACCCCAAACCGACAATTTCTACCAGAATTCTTCATTATTTTCCCTCCACATTCCCCTTCAGGTTTCACCAAATCCTGATCCAGAGGGAGCTGAGAAAGTCCATCTGTGTTCACCCACGCATGTTTTTGAGGAATGTTTTTCTTGATTGATGATGACTGAATAGGTGTGATATAACTCAGAGTAAAACTAAAACAGGAAGAAATTTTCAGTGACCAAAAGCAGCATGTGGCCACAAATCCAAGTGGTCTTGCACAATTCATGCACCCGAAGTCAGAATGCTGAAGGCAGATTTACATACTATGGGTGCAATCTAGTGGCAAGCTGAGTCTGTGGGTATTCTTGAAGTGATATTGTGTAGGAGGCAAAGTTAACTAATATCATATAGGACCTAGACTAACTGTAAGATATTTAAAGGAATGGTGATGTAAACACAAGAATAAAATTTTGGGAAAATAACTTGTGTCTCTTAGTATGCATTTTATTCTTTCTGTCCTTTTTTTAACATGGCAACTTTTAATTGCTATTGCTTTCAAATGTGATGTCATTTAAAAGACATTAATAATTAAATTATAATAATTAATCAAGTCTTAATAAGTTAATATTAAAAACTTAGCAGTTATATTCAACAGTCATTTTATATAATTTGGGTCTGTTCTACTTATGAAATTATAGTTGTGAACTAAAAATAAAATTATCCTCCTTCTGCTTTCAGTTTCTATGAAACCATTTTCATTCCCTCACCTTTTGACATCAAAGCAAACCTCTCACTGCTCAGCATGACAGAAGCTGTCCTTACCTTCCCATCCATTATAGTGACGACATCAGGCAAACCACCAATGACTTTACCACGATCTAGGAGTTAAAGAAAAATATGGTGACCGTATGAAGTTTAGACCTCAAAATTACTAATTTCTTAATGATTTTGGAGTCATGAATCACAGCTTTTTTTTTTTTGCCTTTTCTTAAATCTTTTTTTAAAAATACAATTTTTGTGATATTTTGGGAGGTGTTTGAAGTGTTGTATAGTCCTTTTAGATTTCTTTGGCTGAGATTGTGCCACAGCATTCTAAACTGATATGCATAACAACCTAGAAAGTACTGCTGAGCTTAACAGTTTATATTTTGGGCCCAGAGCAAAGTAAGCAGGGTGATTTTAGCATCTTGGTGGTATCCAAAACCTAAGGAAAAATTTCTTCTGCCATGGACTTTGTGGACAGAAGCATCATGTCATCACCAGGGAACTGATATAATTTCCAGTACTCCTACAGTCCCTAACTGTAATGAGCTTCCCCACAGTCTGTCTCAGCACGCAGTGCAGAATAGACAGCAGCTGGCAATTTTTTACTTAATAGACAGATCCCAGTATTCAGTATTCTCAGCAGCTTTCAAACTCAACACCTCTTTTTATGACACACAATTCACACTTCACCAAATCTCTGCAGACACCAGAAGATACAGTGGAGGCTTGCAAAATATGTGACATGTTTAGCGCATTTCCATTGCAATTAAAGACAATGAAATCCACAAATTACTATTGTTATTGCAATATTTTGTGCTAACAGAGGATTTCTGTAGTCACAGAACTCAGTAAGTTATGGAAGCATATCATGATGAATGCTTTAAAAAGAACACTAGATCACATAAAACACCTATGATAAAATGTAAAATAAACTTACTCTTCTCAGCAAAAGCAGCTGCCCTGAAGTTGTTGAGAAAGAAAGAGAAACATATAATGTCATTGATGAAATTAATAATAAAATATATTTTGACACTGCTGACACTATTGTTATAGCATTAAAATATAAAAGATGCATCACTTACTTGAGTCGCTGAAACTCTTCATATGCCTCATCAAAAGCTGCAACAAAACAATTGAGAGGGTTATTTTCCATCAACATAAATTGCACTGGGGCTCAATAAACAGTTAAACACATACCCATGTTAAAAGCTCTTTTAAAACCTGTACAAAGTCAAGCAGTAGCACAATGAGAAACCAGACCCTTGAAAACTAATGCAGATGGTGCTGAAAACAGATACAAGACTAAAAAGATAATAACAGTTATAAAACTTACCTATGGCTGGTTCTCATCAAAGACTATCTCTTCTTACTGTAATTCCTCTATTTCCAATAAAATCTGCATAATATATGAAAAGGCACAATACAAATCTGATCTTATAAAGATACCTTGCCCAGACAGATCAAGTGTGCGTTTGTAGGATTCCTTGCCACCAAAGATTTCAAAGGTGTAGTTCCCCTTATCCTTTTCAGTGGGTTCACTTATCTGCAACCAGGCAACATCTTCTCCACCTCCAATCTTCATCTTTTCACCAGAAGAAATCTTAGATTCCCTGAGAGGAAAAAAAAAAGATTCATAGAGATGAGTTTGAACATTCCTTTCCCGTATATTGTCCATAAGAAATCATCTATAAAGTCACAAATGATTGCAAGTAATGGGCTCATTTTTCCAGAATACTCTTTGCTTCTGGAAGGGAATATGAAACACTTGGAAAATATTAGCTTGGGTTTTCATTTCTAAGACTCATTCATTCACCCTTTTCTCATTCTCCTTCCCTCCTCACACAGAGTTATGCTTACATCTTTATGCACATACATGAATCTGTGTGAAAATGCTTAGGGTTCTGTACACTTCATACACAGTAAAATATAATACATAGGGGTTATAAATTGTAGGCAAAACACCTTTTTTGATGAAGGAAAGATATCTTTTGCATTTCATTAACTTCAAAAATCAATTAACAAAAAGTTTATGTAAAATTACTCTTGCACCAAGTTAAAGTGTTTTTTTGTTTTTTATAAAAAACAAGAAAGGAAAATTTCTTAACTGTAGATAAGTAATAAAAACTCTTTAAATGACATTGGCTTGACTTATCACTTCCTCGTTAAGAATAAAAGAAATAACCTGAAGATTCAGATCAGGTGGCCTTCTAGTCCACAGTCTGTCACAAACGGGAAATAGAAGGAGCTATTTAATGAGATCATATAATCCAGACCATTTTCAATGCCTCAAAGAGAACTTTCTTCTTTCACTCATTAACTACAGAAATACTCCTTTCCATTCTTCATCCCCAAGCATTTTGAGATGGATTTTTTTAGAAAATAAGTTAATTTTAGCTTTTTTTTTAAGCTCATTTTATTTAGCTAGATAGAGCTGATTTGACTTCATAGCTAGAATTATTTTAATGGTGAAAAAGTATTTTTACCATTTTCCTTTCTTTAAGATAACTTCATTGAGTTAAGCCTACCAAATTAGATTTCTGATAGAAATGGCTGTATATTAGAAAATATAACATATAATGTTTCCCACTGTGCCCTGAGTAGATGATGAATACTAGGTCTAGAACTTGTATTTTATTTCATGCTATGCAAGACAATGGATAATTAAATGCTAGCTAGAAATTTACATGGTGGGAAAAAAAATAAAATCATGGGTTGTGTAGCATTCCAATTTTTCCAGGAAAAAAAAAATCTATAAGCCCATTTAAAGCAGAGGGGAAGCTGGGAGAAGTTGGTCAGTTGGTTGGTTTGTTTTAGTCTATCTTTTAACAGCTCTGTTTATTGTCATTGTATTCAAATAGGAATTGAAATTTTATTCATTCAGAATCTCTCTTCAATGATCTTCCAGACAAAGTGTAAGATGTTATAAAATCTGAAATATTCAGGAGGTTCTCTTGTAAATGTAAATATAAATACAAATATGAACACTGATATTTCCACATTATCCATATAGTATTCTTTAATTTTATACTGCTATCAATTGAATGGTAGAATAGACTGTCACTTTTAAAACTCAAGCAGATACAATAGAAGACAAAAAGTCTTGTGTTGAATAAGAGAACACAACACAGTAGATTCCTTTTTTCTGTCTGTTACAGTCCTCCTGAGGGTGTTGGATGAGCCTTTTAATATTTCTTTTACTTTATGTACTTTCTATGTTAAAAGAGAATATATTGTTCTGGAAAGAGAAATTCATTAATGTTTTCCAATTTATTAATGAATGCCAAGGAATAGTAAATATTAAATTGTAAAGGCAGCATTTTTGCTCAACTAAAATTGAAAAAATATTCTCATCTACCTGTGGCACCAGCTGACTTTCATTTCTTCATTGTAGTATTTCAAGAAACACTGGAGCCTTATTCCTTCCTCAGTGCAAAGAATCTTCAGGGGAGAGGCTGACTTACCTAGATTAAATAGAGCATATGTGGAACAGATAGGAGAGATAGTGGAATAGTGGAACAGGAAATGGAGATAGTGGAACAGGAAATGGAGGGATAGATTATTTGCTGTCTAGACAAAAGAAAATTCAAGTCCTGGGTCATGATTCTCAAGTCTGATAGAGACAATTGTCATAGCTCTCAGGGAACATCTGCTGATTTATATCAGGTGAAAGTTCAGTATAAGTTTATTACTTTATTGTCATATACAAGCATCATGACTGGCAAGATCCATTGTGAAATAATAATCTAATCATATAATTGCCATGAAAGAGTAGTATAATTATTCTATTCACATAAAAATTTTATTCTTGTGCAAACCCTTTTCTTTAAAGTGGAAAGAACAGCTTCTCACTGGAAACAGATTCAGAACCTCCTTCTCTCTATATGAAGGTTCACTTACTAATGGAAAGTAGGAAGAAAATAATTGCTGCAACAATTTCACAGTATCTAAACCAAACAAGCCTGTGGAATAATACTTTGTTCCCTTTTAATAGTGACAATTAGCAAGGTCAACTGTCTGTTCAGAAAATTAATAATATCCATAATAATATAACATTGAGACTCTCAGAGATTTCCCACTTAAAATAAAAGTTTTCTGTCTTAGCCTCATGTGACTTCAAAACTAAAAACTACATGAAAATTCAAGACAGCATTTACTTACCACTCATTCCACTCAATGCCAGAATTATATCATCATAAACTGCAGAGAGAAAGAAAAAAAAGGAAGAAAATGTACCATCAAAATTCAATCAGAATATAGCTTTTTTATGTTCAGTTTAATTAAAGTAATATGGGAAATCTTCATATCCTTAAGCAAAGAAAGCCATTAAAATTGCAACAGGTGTACAAGACAAATTGGAAACTGTGTACAGCATATGAATTCTGTGCTCTGTCACTGAGTATCTCAGCCTATTGTGGAATCAGCTGTCTGGTGCCAAATCTTTGTCTCTCTCCCTTAGGCCAGCAAAAAGAAACAAAGTCATTAAAACTGAATAGTTCACATTCAAAGGAGAGTGCAGCTGAAAAAAAAATTATCTCATTCTTGGTGAAAAGAGTTTCATCCTCTCACTATAGGGTGGTATTTGACAGAAGTGAAGTCCTTTAACAGCAAGTAAAATAAAGCAGGTATCATATCAAGCTTTTGAAATATCACAGAGCTGATGGGCTTGTAGCATGAGAGAACCCCAGAGACAAGGGCGCAAGAGTGAGGGACCCTTTCATAGCAGAAGAATCATATTCAGTGACACCATGTAAGATGAAAGAAAGAACCACCATAGTCTAAAGAATGCATAGTCAAGTCTGAAGGATGCTTATTCAACACTGATGAATTTTTATGAAACTGGGAGACAGAGAAATGCGTGTTCAGATTATACAGTTCCACAACTCTTTGCAATCTCCAGTATGCTTCTACTGATATTTTGACATAAAGCCATTAATTGCTTATTATATATATACCATATATCTCAGATGTCTGAGAAGGTAGGGTTGTATTAACCATACTGTCAAAATGAGGCTGTTTTTTGGGGAGGGTTTTGGTGGTTTTGTTTGCTTGTTTGTTTGTTTGTTTGGTTTGTTTTTTGTTTTCTTGTTTTTACTGAGAGAATAATTGGCAGAATTTATGCAAAAGCAAAATGCCTGGGAGAGTAGCAATTGATAATACAGTCTTCTGCAATAAACCACAGCTTAAAAATTCAGCCTGGTACTCATGTTTTCCTCTTGTTACAGATACTTCCTCCATATGCTGGAAAGGAATGTTAAGATTTTTGTTAAACTGAGTTATTTTTTTTAACATGTCTTCCTCCATCTACTAGGAGCCTGGCATAAAGTATTCATTATTTGGGACAAATGCCTACATGCGGCTAGGATGAATCTAGATTCACTTTGGCCAGTTTGGTGTGACCTAAGCAAATATTTCCAGGGAACTACTCTTCACCAAAGTTAATAAAATTCACTCATATTGGCAACAGATCAGTGTTTGTTATGCATTCAGAATCACAGAATATTCTGAGTTGGAAGGGACCTACAAGAATCACGAAGCCCAAATCTTACGTGAATAGCCCATACAGGGATCAAACCCACTACCTTGGCATTGTTAGCACTATGCTTTAAGCAACTGAGCTCATCTCAGGATCAAAGTAAACTGACATTTTTTACATTAAAATTATTAAATGTAAATATAATTGCTGTATCTCACTGTGATGTCTGATATCATATAAAACCTTTTCTAAATGCCTATCATATGTCTATTTTAGTTTATATTCTCTTATTTGCATTTAACTTCGTTTGAATGTCAGTGGATACTGAGCTTGAAGTAACCTGCCCCACAAAATATGCAGTCTTCCCTGCTCCTGCTAGACTTCTCTTTTTATCCTTTATGTTTCAAGGCTAACTCCCCCATTTAGGAGAGCCATTGTTTGGTTTAATTGTGCAGTTTTCATGGGTTTGCCAGTTGACATTTTCAAAGCCTCCTGGACCCACAGAATTAGATACTGTGAATTCTCTAAACAGGCATTTCCCTGTACATTTCAAGCACAACATATTTTGCCATACCTGAAGTATAATCACTGGAAGCCCTGACCATGTGAGGGAGACCTACTGAACCTTTTGCTTACTCTAGTGGTCAGGATACACGTACCAAACAAATCCGTAGACTAAGGGAATGATATCTGTGTATATATCAAAGGACAGGAAGGGAGGAGGTAATTAATGAGAACGTATTGCAGAGTGTGGGACCTGAGCATGACATAAATGGTACAGAATAAGGGATAGAAATGGTACTGGCTTTGGCTGGAATAGAGTTAATTTTCTTCATAGCAGCTTTATGGTGCTGTGTTTTGGATTTGTGACTAAACCAGTGTTGGTAACACTATTCCTGAGCAGTGCTTGTACAATGTGAAAATCTTTTTCTTCTCCTCAGACTGCCTCATCAAGAGGAAACTGGGGGTGCACAAGAAGTCGGGAGGTGACACAGACAGTTGACCTCACCTGACCCAAAAGACATTTCATACCCATTATATAAAACTCAGGGAAGAAGGAGGAAGTGAGGAGCATTTGAAGTGATGGTGTTTGTCTTCCCAAGCCACTGTTACATGTGATAGAACCCAGGTTTACTAGAGATGGCTGAACACCTACCTGCCCATGGGAAACAGTGAATGAATTCTTTGTTTTGCTTTGCTTGTATACACAGCTTTTGCTTTACCTATTAAGCCATCTTTAGCTCAATCCATTAAACCATCTTTAGCTCAACCCAGGATTTTTTCACTTTTCCCATTACAGTTCTCTCCCCCATCTCACTGAAAGAGAGTGAGCAAGTGGCTCTGTGGGGCTGACATGCCAGCTGATGCTAACCCACAGAACAGTTTCATGATTTAGAATCAAAAGCACTCTTGGTCTCCGCTGAGGGTCCCACATGAACATAGTACTTTGTTGTTTTAGGGTTTTTTGTAGATATTAAAGCTTAACAAACCTGAGACAGAGTGATCTCCTATAAAATGGAGTGTCTGTCTGGTTGGAAACATACTTCATCTCCTGCCTGTCAAAATGCTAGAGATTAATCGCAACAATGCTCAGTGTCACCCCTCCTAAAGTGCTGATCTGCAGTTCAGCAGAGAAATGAAATTCAAAGAATTCTAAAAATATATGCAAATTTTCCATTTGCAAAGATAGATCTTTGACAGCTCTGGAGAACATGTGGAGATCATTATTCGATTATAGTAGATTGAATGCTACCTTTTCCTGATAATTCAAGAGAAGATACATCATGACCTCTATCATCTGATAGTGTTGCCTTATAAACTCCTTCATCTTTGCGAGACAGCTGCAAGGAAAACACAAGATGTTTACTGACAAGCTTGATAGTACCACATAGTACTAGATTTGCTCAACACCTGCACAATTTTCTAAATAAAACAACATACAATGTACTGTCTTCTGGATAAATAATCGTACCAGAGAGGAGATGAATGCTATGAATGGCTGGTTCATGCTTTTTTTATGGTTTTAGTTTTTAAGCCTAAAACCTATTCTGATTTCAATTCAATTTCCTCTAGAAACCATGAGGAATTTTTTTCTTGTTCCAAAAAGACAGGATTGATCTTGTTTAGTAGAAATTACAAGCCCTGTAGTAAGATGTAACAAGGCATAACTGCAACCCACACAACTTTAGAAATCTAATTTTTCTTCAGCAAAAATGATTATTTTTTTGAATTATGTAAATCATAACAGCAAATCTATATCCTGTAACATCAGCTCCTTCATGCTGCTTGCATTCAAACAGCAGCAGTAGTCAAATTATATCTATTCTAAGTAAATAATTAATTTGTTACCCTTGGAGAGTTTATATTCTGAAATCTATCACAGTGATATTGCATTAAAGGCAGTAGGGATTTTGTGGTTTGTTTTCATTTCTTTTAAAACCTGAAGGAAAATATACAAACATTTATATATAGATTGGAGATTACTTAATTTTAGACTTATACAAATCCAGAAGTACATAAACCATAGCAGAAATATAATAAAATTTAATTACAAGTAACAAGAGCTATCCAAGACAAGCAGAAACCACCCTCCCCAAAAAAGTCTACTCAAGAAAAATAAAGCTAGTTGACCCTCTTTAAAGGGAAATGAGGGAAGGAAATTAGAAGAATATGAAGCCAATAAATAAAAAATTTAGATGCAATGCACATTAATGAAAGCATAAAATCTCATTCTGGGAGGTTTTGTCACTTCACAAAGGCAACAACTATGCAAGTTAGGGTTTCAGATATAATTTGAGTTATCCTGTTTGCATAAAGATGAATCTTAAGAAGCCATAAACTTCAAACTTATTCATTTTAGGCAATAAAACAGAAACACTGTTAAAAATTAGGTGCTTGAACAAGTTGAAAAATTAAGGAGTAATAATAAAGAATGAGATACAGGTCACCCAAGGACTCTGAAGCAACTTAAGCATGAATGCTGAACTGATTAACAAAACAGATAATTTTTGCTAGCAATAGTTATTCACCAGCTAACTGAAGAGTAGAAAATATGGTTTTTGTTAGAACTGTTCATAAAAGTCATGATTGCTGGCTTGCTGCTTTGTCTGGGAAATCTAGAGTGTGTCAAGCAGAAGCTGTCATTTGTAACCGGCAGGCAATACAGTACCTTGGGAATACTGAGGTGACATTCTCCTTTCTGCAGATCAGGCAGCTCCTCAACATCAACCCCAGAACCATCCTTATACCACTTAAAATCAGTCTCCTTCTTTGTGTTTGCGACCTGTACCACAGAAAAGACACATAAGCCTGGCTCTGTCCTGAGGAAATATATCGCACTGTGGGAAGTCACACAGGTACTTTCAACATATTAAACCATTTTTTTTTATAACACATGTCAAATAAAGGTAAGTAAAAAAACAGTTTCAACCAAGTCCTACTAAACAAATCTTAGTCCTGCAAGTGTTTCTTTGCAGCACAATATACCAGTTTCAGAGCCCTGTAAAATCCTTAAAGAAAATCCTGGCCATCTCTTCCCTTAAATGGTTTTGCACCATTGCTCTGTGCTTTTAGTTTGTCTAGAGATACCTGTGGAAGAAGTATCTTTCAAATTAGAGCTTCTGAACTCTCCTATATCTTTTTGGGTTTGCCCTGTGACTCCAGAGAGCTGTAACACAAAACTATCTTAGCTGCTTATCTTAGTCTTTGGCCAATTTGGAGATTTATCCCAGCTGCCTAAGCTATGTCTCCCATGGATAAGCTGCAGGAAGCAACTGAAATCACTATTCTGAAAGCATCCAAGACTTCAAAATTGTGACCTGCACCAAAAATCCTTTTTAATTTTACCTTCTACATTGAGTCCTATGGGACATACAAAGACCTGAGGAATACTACATATTGCAGTCTCTTCCCAGCAAAAAGGGGCTTAATACCATAGTGCATATACAGAGCAGTTAGAAAGCAAAAATTTTGCTATAATAGCAGCAATTAATTGAAACAACACCTAAATAGGCTGGAGCTGTACCTGAAGTACTGTTCTAATTTTGATATAAAAACTGTATATTGGATACACTTGAAGTATTGCTGGATAAATTACCTCAAACTGTGAATTCAAAGAAGCCAAAACTGCACCTCTTTTTAGAAACCCCATATTTTTTTACCCTCACTTTCAAAAACACTATGGTTTATTTGACATCACTATCCCCATACCCTTCTAAAAGCCATAAAAGTGCAATGGTATTTTCACATGTAGCCTGAATTCCCAGTCATTGTGGCTTTGGTAGAAAGACAGAGCTGGCAAGATATTTCTCAGTCTCCAGGCAGTTGCTTTAAAAAGGCTCCTTAAAGAAAAGGCAAAAATTGAACAAATAGCTAGAGGGCAGCCAGGAACTTAATACAGATCTGCAATAGCTTTCAAGTGGCTTGCTTGGAGGAAAAAACATGCACCAGTTTCTGACCCTTTTACATTAGAAAAGTCATTCCATAGATGAACAGCTCTAGGAAAGCTCTCAGTAGAGCTGACAAATAAGAGAGTCTTCTATACTGATTCCTAGACATCTCTATCAAACATGCTCAAATTAATCACATCTATTCTTGCTTAATAACCAGCATGGTTGCTATGGATCTCTGACAGTATTTGAGATCACCACCTGGCCCAAAGCAATGACTTGCTCAAGAAAAGTGAGCAGCATTTTACATTTACCAGTAACTACAAAGTGGCTGTTCCTGTAGTCCTGTGACATGAGTGGCAATTTTATTCGAACAAAGCCCGAAGGAACAAGACTTTAATTCTTTTCAACAGTTTTTCATCAAAGACTGTTAGCACTCAATCTGACAATAAATAGACTGAGTTTCAGACACATGCAATTTGCAGTGCTGAAGTTATTTCCTGTTGGCTTTTACTATGAAATGTTACATTTTTCACTGTTTAGCCACACACCAAAAATCTTGCTTTTAACAGACACACTACAAATAAGGGCCAAACTTGTGCAAGAGCAAGTAGCTTCTGAGTGTTTTGAAATTTAGAATTACTAGAAGCAAAATGACAGTGGTTGCTAGCATATGAAGAAAAATAATCTCAAAACAAAAAGCAAAAAGCAAACACCATCAAATTATCTTTCAAATGGCCAGCCATGTTCCACTGACATTGAGGGGCTACAATACCAAGAATATGGTCATCAATCCCAGCTAATTCATAATTAAATATTAAGTAAATCAAAACTCACTCAGGTCCAATAATATAGAAAAAAAGGGATATGTGAGGTAATATTTGACATACTCTTTTATAACACAATCCATATTTTCACATAATTTCTGATATGGGCCTGGATCATACAGTCTGTCCTTTGCCCTCCACAAGCTTCCAGTCGACATGATATCCTAGCTTCCCTGTGCCATGCAATGGCCTTTAAAAAAGTCAAGGTATCACAGATACTTCCTTCACACTACCCCAAGCTCTTAAAAGAGGCAAAACCTCTCTTGACAATTTTTTTTTGCAGAGGTGCAGTAAACAGAGCCTGGAAGAGATGCGGGTCAAGTATTATGATATGGCCTTAGATGACAGGGATTATTCCTTGATTGTTTTTATTACCACAGAAATAGCGTGCAGTGGCCACACTTCTAACTTGTTTGTCAGGTATGTGGAGTTTGAAGGACAAACCCAGGCTTTGTTTTTCAAACTCTTTCTATGTATAAAAACAAGTTAAACAGCCATAAACAACAGTTCCATGTGAACCTAAAGGCCAGTCACATACTAACAGTAACAAACATTATAAGGTCAATAGCGTAGTTAAAATGATAAGTGTGCAAGCAGCATACATCCTAGATTTCATTTACATAAAATGTTCTGACCTTGTGAACAAAAAGCACACTGGTGAAAAGGAAATAATCAGATGCTCAGCCTTTCACAGCTTCAGTGCTATAAACAGTCTTTACAGTCAATGAAAGAAGGATAATTTCAGATTAATTTGTAGAGAATTAACACTAGCATAACTGGTTCAGTGACATTTAATTTCCCATGTGAATGAAAGGATAAGCAGGGTTCATGCCTGAGCTACATGCATGTGGAGATTATAAAGTACTCCAGCAAAGGTACAGTGTTAGCTAATGTTGAGCCCTAAAATGTGAGCACATGGAATGGCAGCTTCAGCACCAGGTCAGATCTGCTGGGAATAACTTGAGGTTAAGGGTGTCCTAGTTAATGAGCAGAAAAAAAAAATCCCACAAATGTGCATGTAAATTGCTCATAATGATTCAAGTCTGTCTAATTATAAGCCAAAAGTTTTTCAAAATAAGAGAAAATTAATACAAAATAGTCCATATTAGAGAAAAAGAGAATGAAGAGGAGTTTGATGCCTGAATTCAATGTACTTAGTTTTTCAGACCTCTAATTAGTCACTCTAGAAGAACAAAACAAATGAAAACTTCAGAAAGGCATTTAAAGATGTTAATAGCAGAAGTTACACTGAAATCAATATACATTATCATTGCTTAAGATTCAAAAGTCATCAGCCAAAAATAGTTTAAAAATCATGTTTTATAACCTTAATTCTGGAAGTCTTTGTAGCACAACTGATTACAGTTGATTAAATAAAAAGACACTTTGTTAGAGAAATCAGAAAATGGTAAAGAAAGATTTTAAACTGGCATTTTTTAGCTATTTTTAAGAAAGAAGAAAAGGGATACTTCTTAAGGAATGTATATTTCATGTAAATTATTCTTATGGCTCGTAATTTTCATAAAGAATTAGACCACCTAATAATACATTTAGAAATTTCCTATAATAATTTTTCCTTTCATTAACACTACTGTTGAAGAATCGTAAGTCACAAACTTTCATACTCAAATTTTCCAAATAATAAAAATAGTTTTCATATGAAACTTTTGTTTTTAAAGGTATCTAAGTAATTTTTCACATTTTTCTACCTCAATTCTTCATTAACATATTCTAAATAATATTTTCAAGTATATTTCCTTACCTTACAAGAAAGTAAAACTTCACATTCCTCTGTAACATTCCAATACAAAAACTCTGAAAAGTGAGGACCTAAGAAACAAAACAATCTTAAAGCAATGTTGTAGAATGAAGAGTATCAGAAGGATCCAGTGAAAGAAAAAGGATGACGATTTCAACATCCTTACACAAGAACAAGAGGGACCTCCTGAACTACCCATGGTGACATATGTAGCCTTTTAAATATTATTTTATTTACTTATCTCAATAAATGTACATGTCTTTGTGTTGGCAGGATCAGGGGCCTTAATTCTGATACCCAAATCTGTGAAGTTGCAAAGTCCAAGACTTTAACTTAAATCATTGAGTATTGAAATATTTTGTCAGTTTATGTTGTAAGTGGTATCATTTCTTTCATAAATCAATTTTAAACAGCCTTCAAAGAGAAAGAAAATAGAATTATATTGCTTCTGTACAGAATCTTACCTAAGCTATTCAGGGAAAAAAATTTTTTAATAATTATTGTTACTTTCATCCTGAAAGCCATCTGCTTAAAAGTGAAAATTGCAAACTAGAGCTCAAGGTCAATTTTTTAAGGATTTCACAGGGATAGAATTCTGAATTAGGCATCCAATAGTAATTTTCTCATTCAGCTGCAAACAATGTCGATAACGAGCATATAACAAACTCTACAACTGTATAGCAACTATGCAACAAATATACATTTAGTTCCTGGAATTTTGGCTCAATAGAAACCATAGGGTCAAGCATTTAATCTTCCTTATCAGGCACTACTTGTCTTGTCTGTCTACTCTTCTATCAATTATATTGAACAGACAACTTGTATGCTCAAAACGAAATGCAATTAAATGTTTTGTTGGACTGGAGCCTACAGTAGGCACACTTCTCGTGAATATTGAGCGAAGGAAACCTTTTGTGAGAACTCCTTCTTTCTCAGCTTAGTGAAGGTTCAGATACAAATTGACAGTGTAGGAAAATAAGATCCACCAAGGTTTCAAGTATCTCCTAAGACTGAACAATATCTTCTAATAAAGAAAGGAAGCTGTAAGTGTTTAGCATTCACCAGGGATGAATCATTAACTGCAAACTGGGCCTGAAGTCACCAATCTGCTCCATCTTACCTTGTTTTCTGAGATATTCCTTTCGTTGGAGTTCAGACTCAGCCAATACTCCCTTGAATGCTAAATTTTAGAAGAGGTGAATGAAAAATGAGTTAGTCACAAAATTACTCAAAGAATAATTGAAGTTCACTTCTCCATCAAAGTTTCAATATTTCAATGTTTCAGTGAACATACCATCTCCAATGAGAACTAATGAGGACTGGTTTTTGGCCTTGCCATCCTGAATCTGTACTGTGTAGGTACCTTCATTGTCAATTGTAAATGTTTCCATCACCATTTCTATAATGCCACTTGAACGGTCACAATTTATTTTATGCCTCTGAAATAAATAAACAAGTATTTCAATATACTATAAATTACTTATGATTACTATATTATGATTACTATATTATTATATATATATATATATAATGAGTTATATATATATATATAATTATATTACCAAATTATGAGTTATATTCCTTCCCCCAGTCAACCTTTTTCATGTCCTTTTAATTGTAAACTAAGGGAAGAAAACACTGCTTTTATTTACTGTTGTGTAATAAGATCCCAATGATCACAGATACCTCTGTGTGCAGCTGCATTTGGAATCCTCAAGTCATCAAAATATAGCTGGTTTGTATTTGAAAAAAAATTTTTATGGCACTGTGCATATTTGAAGAGCCTCACAGCCAGCCTTTAGCTGCATTACAGCTTCCAGTTCAACAAGGGGGTTTGCTAGCCAGAAGGATTATTCCTTGCAGAGTCCAGAAACAACTGGAAATATTAAATATGGATCTTCAAATAAATCCATCAACCAAATCCAAGAAGTCATCCCTACTAAATATCTGAGACATATATAGTAGTCAATAGTGGATCTTATTTTCCCATAAGAAGATTATAATGATTTTCTCATTTAATGCTAGGTATAATTTTCAAAGAACACTTTAAGCAAATGACTATGAGAAAAGTAAGTTTTGCAAACCCCAGAGAGTTTCTGGGACCCAAAAGGGATTGACCAAGTCCAGCAAAAGAGAGGTATAACTCTGTCAGGATATATAGTTACCCATTTAAGTGTTTGCAGAATACACAAAACACCAAATATTGACTTGAATTCAAAGTTAAATATGCTTTTCACTGTTTGTGTCCTTTATGTGTTTGCTTTTTATTAAATATTTCAGAAAGATAAATTATTGTCAAGCATCATCATGGAAACAGAAAATTACAAGAAAATTAGACAATCTTTGCAGAATATGTGTTTTGAATTTTCAGGTACTATTTTAAATACAACAATGTTTTACTAATATCCTTTTTTATTCAGTGAGTTACAACTATGAGGACAATGTCCCCTACTAACAGTGATGTTTTTTGCATCTCAACTAACAAATTGCTCAAGCTAAGTAAAAATAACCCACAGAAGTTTCTTGGTGAATACTTTATGGTAAACTATGTGGCCAAGGATATATCACACTAACTTCCAGTCACAATTGCACAGAACAATAAATGTCACCATCTAGGAGTTATATGCAGTGAATTACTATAAATTCTGTTACTTTAAAATTTACTATACATACTGTTAAAAGGAGACATGATGTCTAATAAATAGAATGCTTTGATAAACCTGTTTATTGGTCTCCAAAAGTAAAAAATAGTACTAAAGTAACAGACAAAGTTTAAGGAAGGAGAAAAAGAAGAAACATTTTAAAAGCTAGTAAAAATGCCAGTTATTAAGCTCTCTAGAATCTTATTGAAATGGAAAAAACCTCTAAATCCCCTAAGTTCCAAAAGTAGTAGGAATGACCCCACAGATATATCTGCTTTAGCTTTGAGGGACGCATCTTGGCCAGCCTCGAAAACAGACTCACTCTTGTATGGATAACAAGTCCGGAAGAACAATGTCACATAGCCAAGATATTTAGCATTCAGTTCTGGCATTTTCAAATATATAAATATTTAAAATCTTAATGGGGTAATGGAAGAATGAAGAAAAAGAAAATATGTAGAATTGACAAAGCAGTGAGCCAACATATTGATCAGGATAATAATGTTTTAAGGGATAGGCATGTTAATTTAGATACACAATTTCTCATACATAGTGCAAAGAAAGATACTATATCAAAGACAAGATAAACTTAATTGGGAAATTAAGTAGAAAATCTACTTGTGCAAGAGTTCATCTGTTAGCGTTAAGGTGATAGGTGAGGAAGGTTAAAAACAGGCATTAATAAACTTACCTAAGCTATCAAAAAGTGCAAATTTCAATGTGCAAAAGTCAAATTCTTGCTTACAGCCTCAGAGGTCAAGGACTTCACTGGCATTTACTTCAAGAGTTCCCAGGGAGAACATTAAATTAAATTTTGCCAGAAGCAGAAAAGTTTTAAAAAAAATGCAAGAGGTATGTTTTAATCTGATTCTTTATAACACTTAAAAAAAAAAATTCTAGTTTTATTCAACAAAATATTAAAATAAAATCTGAGTACATGGGGCTCAGTTCATTCCATTTTAAGCTTATCTTGAAGTCTTACCAGAAACACTCCCTGTTAGGACCTAGCAGGAAAAATTTATCACTTCAGCCAATGTCATGAATCAGGCCACAATTCACCAGCATAATGGTCTATTGAACATGTTCAGTGACTGTAGCCCAGTCTCCAGACAGGTTTTAGAGTGCAATTAGGCTTCTAACTATTGCCATTATGCAGCAAGATGAAGTTCAATGATTTTATGAGCATCATAAATATTAGGCTTTTATGTGACTTTCCACAAAAATATCATCTGTCTCCAAACATAAATGTCACCTGTGGGTTACTAATTAAAGAGGTGAAATAATGCAGCTTCATTTCAAGACTCTCTGATGTCAACACTTGCAAAACGTATGCGACTAAAAATAGCTCATTCTGTTCCATGAACATTGCCAAGACAAAATATTGTCATTTCAATACATCCTAAGCACGAATATTCAGGTTTTCAGTGCTATGGTTTATTACTTCTTAAATAAAGAAAAACAGAGAATTGTTTTACTCAGAAATACTTCTTCTTCCACTTGTCAATATCTAATTTACTTAATGCTTTTTGCTTTTCTATGGTATAAAAATGCTGATAAAGCTTTTCTGACCTAAACCAGGATTCGCATTCTCAGGAATAAACCGAATCTTTCAAACAGCTGCACTGGAGAGGAATTCTTCATAGGAAAACACTTCCAGTGCTGTGCCTATGGCCTGTAGATGAACCATACTTTTGCCCTGCAAAGAAAGGTATGACCTTACTCTCTTCTCAGCCCTATCTTTTTTATGCCCTTTTATATGAAAGATCTTTCTAGAGCTATAAAAACGTGGGAAGATGATGGCCTACCCTTTTATCTCTATATAGCTATTCAATGCACAGTTTCTAATCCAAAACTAAAAAAACAAAATAGAAAGTAGTACCATATAAAAATTGTGAGTCTATAAACACTGCTGTATTGTCAAGTGCCTCCCACATTATACATAAAGCTATTAATATCAGCCTCAGAGACTCTTTGGGAACAGTAGGTTGTTGGTTTGGAATCCAAAACTGAAGCATCCATTTCCTTGAGCTATTTTTCTAAAATATTTGTGCTTAACACTTGTCTGTGTGTAAATTCTCCTTCTGAATAGACAGAGTCCAACTCTTTTTCCAGTATGAATAGGCTCACTCAACAACAGGAATTCTATACTGAAAAATATAATTGAGTTACAGATTGGCCTTCTTTTCAGGTATTATCACACCTTAATATTTCTGATATTAAGAATCTATAGGATCCAGGGAACTACAGGCCTGTCAGCCTGACCTCAGTGCCAGGGAATATAAAGAAGTGGATACATCTTGAGAGACACCAACATACACAGAACAACCAGGGGATAAGGCTTAGTCAGCACAGGCTTGTGAAAGGCAAGTCCTGCTTTAATGATCTGATAACCTTCGGTGACAAGGTGACCCACTTAGTGCATAAAGGAAAGACTGTGGATTTTGTCTACCTGGAAGCCTTTGACACTGTCTCACACAGCATTGTCCTGGAGAAACTGGCTGCTCATAGCTTGGATACCTGCACTAGCTCCTGGCTGGATGGCCAGGGGCAAAGTTGTAGTGAATGGAGTTAAATCCAGTTGGTAGATATCAGAAATTATGTTCTCCAGGGCTCAACAGTGGGGCCAGTCCTGTTTAATATTGTTTAATATTTAATAATGATCTAGAGGAAAGGATCAAGCTGGGTGGGAGTGTTGATCTACTGGAGGGTAGGAAGACTCTGCAGAGACATCTCGACAAGTTCAATAGATGGCTCAAGGCCAACTGAATGAGGTTCAACAAAGCCAAGTGCTGGGTCCTGCCCTTGGGTCAAAACAAGGTTTGGGGAGGAGTTGCTGGAAAGTGACCCAGTGGGAAAGGCACTGGAGGTGCCTGTTGACAGATGGTTGAGCATGAGCCATCAGCATGTGCCCAGGAGGTCAAGAAAGCCAATGGCATCCTGGCCTGTATCAGCAACAGTGTGACCAGCAGCACCAGGGCAGGGATTGTACTCAGCACTGGTGAGGCCACCTCTCAAATCCTGTGTTCAGTTCTGGCTCATCACAACAAGATAGACATTGAGGTGCTGGAGTGTGTTCAGAGGACAATGAAGCTGATGAAGAGTTGGGAGCACAAATCCTGTGAGAAGTATTTGGGGGCGGTGGGGTTGTTTAGCCTGGAGAAACAGAGGCTCAGGGAGGACCATTAGTGCTCTCTACAACTGCCTGAAGGAGGTTGTAACCAGGTTGGGATCAGCCTCTTCTCCCAAGTAACAAGAAAGAAGACAAGAAGAAATGGCCTCAAGTTACATCAACGGAGTTTAGACTGGATATTAGGAAAAATTTCTTCACTAAAAGGGTTGTCAAGCATTGGACCAGGCTGCCCAGGGAAGTGGTTGATTCACCATCACTGGAGGTATTTAAAAGACAAATCGATGTGGCACTTAGGGATACGGTTTAGTGGCGGACTTGTCAGTGTCATGTTAACTGTTGGATTCCATGATCTTAAGGGTCATTTCCAACTTAAATAACTTTATGATTCTATGATAACAATAGAAACCTGCAGGTTTCTTAAACAAAATTACTAACGTATAGTACTTATTGTATACTTACATCACTGTTTTCGACTTCTTTATCATTAATGACAAATCTGAAAGTAGAATCTGGAGATAAGCTTTCAGCCTGAATCCAGAAACGAACTTCTCCTTTATCAAGGACCTCATAAGCTAATTCTGATTTCAGTGGTATTGCTACAAAAAAGAAAAGATCAAAAATCAATCATTCATGAAACCTTGTGAGAAATAGGAATATCATAGTAAAGTACTAGCAATTCCCTATTATTTATGGATTTTTTGGATAGCAAATAAATTTTACACAGGTAAAAGTCCTCTAATGCAGTCTTTGGCTGATTTTTAAATTAATTTCCCAAAGGGAGAAAAGAATTTACAGTTTGATCTTTGTACATTTTGTAAGGATTTCGCTAGTAAAAATCTATAATGTATTGTCAAACTTCAGAGACATTTAGGAATGACAATTTTATTTGATGTCAACTAATATTCTTCTAAACAAACTAAAAGATAAGGAAGCAAGGTGTTCCATGCTAAATGAAGCTGCCATAAAAATGAAGTTTCCATTGTCTCAGGAAGAATCTTTTTGGAACTCCAGTCATTAGTATGCAGTTATATTCCTTCTAGAAGTGTCTAATAGATTCAGATCTTCAACTTACTTGGATTCTTTATTTCATAGCTTAATGCCATCAAACGTTCAAACTCTGAAAATAAGAAAAATATTCATGTTTTAATTTATTCTGAAAAATGCAGACAGCAAATGGGTGTTGGTGAAAATAAATATCAGCATCAGCAAAGTTATATTCTTAAAGCTTCTATATGAACTCACAACTCTTAAAAAAATAACTGAAAAAAAATATTTAGGAAACTTAAATTCTGATAAATTGATTCAGCAAATATTTCTATTGCATGCATTTTAGTACACATTCTCTTATGCAAGAGAATCTAAACAAAGGCCAAAAACTATTTTATACTTTAAAAATAGCAACATAAAAGAAGGATGGGAAACAGTAGCTTCTAAGCAGTGTATAAAGTTCCTTCATCCCCAGATTTCCTTTCTCAGACTGTTCCTGAAAATTTTGTTTTACTGTGGCAGGAAACAAGATTGTGTCTGAAAACAAGACAGAAAGTTCTAGTTAATGCACCAAATCCTCATGAAGGCTGTGTGAGAGTCTCAAATTTAGTTTTTTAGATTTTCATACTAATTCTATATATCATAGTCATTACCAATAAATATTTGGAAAATTAACATTACTACCAATTCCAAATTTACAGATAATATAAAGACCAGAGAAAATTAACATGGATTTATGACATGATAGAGGATTTAGCAAAACTGCAGGAGAATTTATAGCTTTTGAGACAGTAAATGGGAAATGAAATGATGGTTTTCAGTGTTAAGATGAAAAATCTGATACTTGTGCAGAGATCCAGAATTAATAAAATTGTAATATTCAATAATATATGATTCGAAAAGATGTAGGGGAAGAATGGAATGGGAAACACCTTCAGTGCTTTATGCAAAAAAAAATTCAAAGCTACAGCAGATGACAAGATCTACTGAAAGATTTCAGAGTGATGCTTCAAAACTTAGCTAAAGGACAGTTCTCATGATAATGGCTCATAAATCTTCCGTGTCCTGGAGAACTTCTTTTTTTTTCCCCTGAACATGGATTTCCTCTCATCACCTACTTGGAAACGGTGGTTTGACATGTTTCTCACTGTGATTCCTTAAATGGCTTATTAGGTTGAGAAGCAGAGGGATTTTAATACTTGAGGAACTGGCCAGAGCAATTACAGCCAAGAACTGGGAAAGCACCAAAGCAATTTTTATTTTACTCAAAATAGCAAACTCTCCTCTTTATTTTTTATGTCAGCACTTCTCAATGATAGAACAAAGTGAGAATGAAGCAAATTAATTGTGAATTCAATGAAAAAAAAATAGCTACAATGAAATAAAGCAAAACTTTATACGTAATATATATACGTAAGCCAAATGATAATTTGTCCCAATGTATTTAGATCTTGTTAAAACATCATAATTTTTCTCATAAATTTCCTGCATTTCAGTTATGAGAAATTGCATTTAGAGCCTCAAGCACAATTGAAAGTGTGGTGTGAAAGTAAGGGATATTTACAAACACCATTGTAATCCCAGCATAACGAAAACAATTCTAATTTGCCATTTTTTTTATCTTTATCTAGAAAATGTTGCCTGAAGTTATCCCAGTTTTTATTATTATGATAATCAGAAAAATAAGTAATCAAGAAAAGCCTACTGTGGGTTCTTTTTGTTTTTCTTTAATTCATAGGAAATAATGTGACAGCTGTAGGGTTCTATACTGTCTTTCCTCGGGCAATTTTTAGTGCAGTTGAGGAGATACAGTGAAGAAAGATTTGAAATTGTAAGGCCCTTACCTTGATCATCCATAATGAAGCTGGAGGAAATCCCATCTGTGTCACTAACTGAGATAGAGTAAGTTCCCAAGTCTGATTTATCAGGATTTTTGAAGTACAGCTTAGAACTAAAATCACCAATTAAAAAGAATATAATTAGCTGTGTATCATATTTTTAACATTACTTACAGATTTCCTTTCGTAGATTGGCATGACTTACTGATTTCCTTCTGTTTCAATCTTAAACTTATGAGAATCATCAATCTCCTCATAAGATTTACCCCATGCAAAATGAGATGCATCTGTTGCTTCTTTGCACTCAAAAGCCAGGTAAATATTACCCTCATCATCCACACCTGAATAGATTTCTTTTGTTCCTGAAAAATAGGAATCAACTCAAATGTGAAGACTGCATTTTTCTGTAAAGGTGCAATTCATAAATTACTAAAGCCCATATCTATTTTTTCCTAAAAGATTTTATTAGCAGGTCTTAAAGCAGGTTTATGTCATGTGCTGACTCAGCATCACATTCTCATAAGTTTCTTACTCTACATGCAAGAAATGAATGATTTTACTAATAAATGCTTATTGAGAAACAAATGAATAAGATATAATGAAATGTTTAAACAAACCAATTTTAGTATCATTCCTGAAACATTAATAAATGTGTTTCACAACAAGTAGCACCTTTGTTAGAATAAAAACCAGAATAACTGATTATCAGATAACTCCAGTAGTAAGTAAAGGAAAAAATTCTAATCACTGTATCTGTATCCACATGTTTTTTCTTTAAGTTTTAAGGCTAAGAGATTCTTAATTATTTAAATACTTATATGTGATATAATATCAAATTAGGTTGATTAAACTCAATTCCCATATTTTAGTTTTTAAGAAACAGAGATTAAACAGTTCATTTTACCTGGCCGTTCCTCAACAAGCACTGGTTCAGATATTTCAGATGACTTGCCTACCCCAGCATCATTCACTGCACGAACTTTGAAAACATAGGTATGACCCTCATGTAAATCAGTGACCTTAAACAAGATAAAGGGTAAAGCCAATTTAAAAAAACAATCTAAACTATTTTTGTTTACTCATATGAAGATATTAGCAGAAGCTGAAGTTCAAATACATATCTTTTTTTATACTCAATCAGAACTTCTAGTAGTCAGTTTTATATTAATAATATTTAATGAAAATGTTACCTTAAAATAGCGCTTTGAAGTAGGTGTTTCATTAGCGGTGATCCAGTCTTCTGCATCTACTTCTTTATAGTCCACTAAATACCCAGTAATAGGGCTTTTGCCTTCATACACAGGAGCTTTCCACAGAAGAACTAGTGATGTATTTCTAACTTCACATATCATAAGATCATACGCAGGACCTAAAATATTTCAAATATTGGAAATTCACTTCAATGTAATGAACTTTTGCAAGCTGTTCCTGTAGAAGCTGAAATGTACTGCTGTAATTTTGACTGTATCTACTTTCAAAAATTTCATCCTTTATAATACACCTGGTATATGTGGCATCTAGGTCATTTCCCCCTCATGGCTGCATACAGCAATCCCTGTCTTATACAGTGAGTGACATTAGTATTCTGAAGCATACTTGCTTAGCTAGATCTCAGTAACTTTATTTTAAGGTTAAGCTAATCATGTAGAAAATCCATGCAGTTTAAGATTTTCCAGCAAGCAAGAGAGGTTTCTTGTCTATTATTTAACCCACCAGCCTCACATCAAAGTTGCTTCACTGAGTCTGATTCAGGTTCATAATCTAACATCTGGTTTTTTATCTTTTCATTAGTATACATGAGCCATGAACTTTAAAAGTAATCCAAAATCCAGTGGAACCAAAGGACTTTGGATCAGGCTTCTTGCTCCCTGACAAAAGAATTTTTATTGTGAACTGGATAGCTGCAGCTGAGAGGAACTTCTCAGGATAAATGATATCTGTTAGGAGAAATATTTAAACCAAAAAGGTCCTGATATTCTACAAATAGGTGAGAGTTTATGTTTGCAACTACCAGGTTATGTTCTTCCTACTATACTTTTCTTCTCCTTCACTAACTGTTGAAGTGCCATTCAGTCTGACTTATAGCAGCTATTTTTATTATACTTTTGATACTTACACTAGTAAATAAATATAAATGTAAAGGCATAATTATATAAGTTTCCTACCATGGTCAAGCATCCATGACAAAATATTCATATTCAGTCAAATTATATTGTTTGCTTCTTGTGCTTTATATGTAGAAAGCTGAAGACTAAGGATTAACTTGAGACTTAAGGATTTCCTCAGTTTTCAAGATATTAATTTTCTCTACAACACATCCTATCATTTAAAATAATCATTAAAAAATGGAGTGGGAAGCCTTACAAATAAATGTAATTGCCATTCCAGCCTACATGACGTTAATCAATGATGAGTGAATATAAAATTTGTAAAGGATGATATTCAGCAAATACACTGAAGGAAAGAGAAAAGTTAGAAGTTTTTCTCCAAAGTGGATAAACACATTTCAGAAAAGAAACATATTAAATACTTGTTGCAGACCTTATAAAGATAAATATTAGATTTCTCATGGAAAGAATGCTATTTTCAAGGTACCTAAAGCCTTCCCTCAGGGCTCTTTAAAAATTCCAGTCTGAATGTCTATATATCCACAGGTAATTAAAAATACACTGTGAAATGGACCCGATAGAAATCTAGACAGTACAAGGAAAAGTGTAATGAAGGATGTTCTGTTCAGAGGAGTGTGAGACACAGTAATTTCTTTTTATTTAAAGCAATGTAAGATAATCCATTAACAATTATTGCTAACACAGAGAAACTCACAGAGACATCTAAAACTAAAGTTTCGTGGGAGGATGAAATAATTATGGACTCTGGGCAAAGAATCCATCACTTATGCTGGAAATCCTGCAAAAGGTTTTGGCCTTTCGAAGGAAACCTTCCTTCTATATCAAAAGGTGGAAGGATATTTTGTTGACACTTGGGAGTATATGGCAGCCACATTACACTAGTCCCCAGTACCTTTAGTAAGTCTGGGAAAGGGGTCAGGCTCTTTCTCCCAGTCTTAAATCTCAACTATTTATTTTCATTATTGCTAAGCCATTGTTTAAAAATGTATTTTTAAAAAGGCTCGTGAATTATTTAACAGGTCCAGAGATTTGAGGTTTTTTGCAGGGTGGGCAATGTTCTTTGCAGGTAGTGGGTTTTTTTAAGCAGGAGGAAAGCAATACTATCTATTCAACTCATATAATAATGAGAACATAATAAGCCAAACACTAAAAAGGTCAGATTGTTAATTATGGAAATTTCATTATCGCCATTTTCCTGAAAACACATTTTATTTCTTTATCTGTCATTTAAAATGAAGGATAATTTTCACTTCTTCATTATGTAATTTCAATGATGTTTTGAAAAAACTGTAGTGAGCATAAATTGTAGATAATTTCTTTAAGAAAAAAAAATTGTTCAAATGATGATGCATTTACACTAAATATTATGAGATTATAAGAAAATGTTATTAAAGTTAAGGTCAGGAGAGTAAACGTTTTGTGATTGACAGCTTTGTTGTGTCATTAAATCCATATGGTAAGATTTTTGAACTCTGACAAATTTGGCTAGAAAACATAAAGACAAACAGCTTTTCAGCAAAAAATATTGGCATTTAAAGGAACTAACTTGGAACTTAATAGTGCAATTTTTGTTTTAGAGGGCAAAAAGAGGGGGATTTGTAAGCAGGCAAATGACTTGCAGAAGGTAAAGTTATAGTTACTCTACTCAGCATTGAAAAATACTTATTTTCCCAGGAAATAGATGTCATCATTGGAGGTGTGGCAGTAACTTTTAACAGATCTCAGAAGCAAGGGCAAACTCAACAGGAACTATGGAAGAAATTAAGTAAAAGACATCCTGCAGAGTTTGGCTGGAACTCCATGGCTGTGTTTTAAGGACTTTGAGATTCATCAAGAACTGATATACTTACCAGGTTCTGGCATAGTCCAGGCTTTACACTTAAAATGCTCACTGGGATCTGAAGGTTGACCTATTCCAACCAGATTTGCAGCAGCAACTTTGAATTCATAGAAGGCATCTTCAATCAAATCCTCTACCTTTTTTCATTGGAGAAAACAATTAAATATATCAAAAGCCATTATTTATATTCATTTAATAAATACTTGGATATAAACGTTCATTAATTGATCATCAGGCCTTACTTCCGTGCTGAAGGGTCTAATTTGAATACTTTACTCTTAAACCAAACACACTGCAGAGCTCTATATTATATGTCCATGTTTCAGTCACATAATCAGAGGAATAACAGCACTCATATATTGGCAGGAAAAGTTGTAAGAGTTTAGAGCAAAGGTTCAAGGAGCCCAATCAATGAATGATCACTAGCAGGTACATATGTGTGAGGGTTCTAAAATGAAATACTTTCTTGCATTGCTTGTGAATGGCTTTTCATAAGCCATTCACTTATGCGACAGTTAAAATTGTGTTTTGCTTAAAAAGGTCACAAAGGACTGACGTGGGAGAAAAGTAAATCATAGAAAAATAAAAGAAAAAATTAGTTCCACAATATGCTGATATAATTCCAGGCAAGAGCCTCTCAGTAGTATTTTGTGGCATGTATGAATCTTTCTCTTAATGTTACCTACCATTACAAAGTGAGAAAGTAATGGGTATGAAAGTAACTGGTAATGGGATGAGCAGAATCCCATAATAATCCTCTGCAAACATCCCCGGTAAATAAACTCTGATTTATCTAATGAGCCCATCCCCACACCAGCCTCTCAGATTTTGAGATCAAAGTAGAGGACTAGAAAGCATGAATGTCTTGACACCCAGAGCACCTCACGGCAGCAGCCGTCTTCCATCCTTCTTCTTTCAGAACACTTAAATACAAAAAATCAAGTCTTCTATACATTATTCCTCTGAATAATTTTTTCACAGGTATATTTAATCATATGTCTCAAGAGAGACAGCTAAGAGTGGTACTCCTAGTGGAAGTACCAGTTTTAGATTTTCATTAATAAATAGTTGTCTTTGAAAATGTGAGATAAAAAAGGATTTTGGTGCGATTTTTATAATGATAAAAAAAAATGTGATGGTAAAAAACATATCAGGTAGCATCAATTTCAAGACCAAAGCAAACAAAGTAACAGAAAAGTCGGGCACTAAAATAATTTAGACATAATTTCCTGAAGACAAGGAGCTACAAAGTGTGACTCACAAGACAAAAAACAGATCAACCTGTGAAAATGATTTTGAAATCCTAGGTTATTAAGGGAAAGAATATTTCTGGGGTTTCCATAGAATTATTTTATCAGAGAAGGTTAAACCTTCAGTGATTTCCCAGTGCTGTACTGAATATCTTGGGCATTCTCTGTTGGCAGTATGTCATAAAATATTCTGTGCTACTAAAAGCTGTCTTGGTTTTGTTTACCATCAGTATTTCAGATTCTAGCCATTCAAACTAACGTATGAAGATGCACCTTTAGGCATAAATATAGTTACTGGCAGGAGTGTCACTTAAATACCTAGTTAAATTTTCAATGGTAAGCCCTAATTTATATTACTCATTTGTTTACAAATGCATTAAAAATAAAAATTTGTGGAAAGCATTGCTTAGTATTGCCTTTTCATACCTATCTTATCTGTCCCTTTTTTATTTCTCACCATCCATGGTCCATCTGCTATTCCAGAGATGCCAGTCATAGACTGCAGGCACGCACACATGCAGGCAGAGTATTGCTGCCTGCCTTCTGTGCATGAAATATTCTTCCTCAGCTCATCTGCATCATTATCTTCTACTTCAGTGTCAAATACCTGCAAGACTTACTTCTGTCCTAAGGTTTACAGAAAACTTGCTGACTTGCAGAAATAAAATTTTAAGTATTTGTCTGTAAAATCTGATTGTTTAATTTAAAAAGTATCACATAGATTGATTACTTGCTATATCTTATCTCCCTAACTTTTCCTCATGGAAGTTCACATCCAAATTTTCCTATTCCTGTAAGAAACATTTCGTAAATTGCAAGTGCAACCAGAAATAATTTATTTCAAAACTGTACTCTGTGAAGGTGGTGACGAGGCATAATGCTGAGTTCATTAATAAACTTTTTCAGCATGTTTATGCTGAAGGCGGATTTTGAGAGTAAGAACAGAGACACATTTTCACTCACCCCTTCTCCGTTTCATTTGCAAGTCCTCAGTTCTACAGAGAGCAGTTACGGTCCTGCTAAATGCGTACATCCTTTCTCAGTATGTTGTTATAGTGGTGATGTATACAGTGATCATTAATGAAAATAGCCTGGGAAACATTTTATAGCTCATTCCTCTTATTCCTTGTGAAAAACGTGCTTCACACTTTTCCGTCCAAAATTTACTTATCTCAATGGTCTCATTCGTATTAGAACTTCACAGCAGGAGACGGCACTGATCTTTTAGCCCAGGTATAACATTGCTGCATTCTGAATGTAAATGTCTAATTTTGTTGAAGTCAGTATTTAAAGAATTTCTCTATTTTCAGATTTTAAAAAGTCCAAAGAAAAAATTCAAATCAACTGCAAAAATATAATGAGGAAAAAATACTAACCGTATAAATCGTCCGGGTAATAAGGGAAGAATTGACTTCATGCCAGTTTTGATGGTTAGCTTCCCGTTTATCCATATAATAACCAAGGATTGGTGAACCTCCACTGTACGTTGGTGCTTTCCAGCCAAGGGTCATTGAATGCCCATCACAGTTCAGAAGAGTGATACCATGAGGATATGAAGGACAAGCTACAAGGAAATAAGCAAGCTGAGAGTTAGGACATAATCTAAAACACTGCAGTGTAGAAGTTGCTTAGAATGTTTGATATTGCTTCTGTTTTCTGCAGCATACTGCTCTCAGCTACTCAGTGAGAGCAAAGTGGTTGTAAAGTTGCTAAGCAACATTCATTTTATCACCAGATATAAACATGTCTAACATTTTGCCCTCTCAGAAGGTAGGAAGGAAGAGTAGATGATTGCAGGAAAATAGTAATGTCAGCATCTTCAAACCAAAAATTATGCTAAAAGATTAAGATGGGGCAGAAGACCTCTTCCTAGAAAGAAAAAAAATAAGCTGCTCAAATGCGTATGGAATACAGTAAAAATCATCCATTAAAAAAAAAGAAAAAATATTATAAACTTTTATTAAATTAAGTCATATGACTAACTGATTTGTGGCCACCACAGTTTTCCTGTACTGTCCTGATATTATGTGCTTTATTCAGACTGTGACTGCTTTTTAGGAAAAGAACGGAAGATATTTAGACTTTCAGACTATGTTGAGGCAGAGAAGTAATGTCCTTCATGAGGTTCCTTTCATGGGTTTACTCCCTTCTGTAGCAGAAGCAGAATTGTCACCTATGGATGAAGAAAACCCTTTCTCTGAGCTTTTTAATCCCCTCCCACTGGCAAGCACGCCTTGTAGCAAGCAGTTTTGAATTTGTCATCCATACTTGAAAGTCTGTCCAAAGATATGTATTTCTTGGCACTGGAGTGCTTCAATCAGTACAGCTAAACACCTGTCCTAAAGCTGATCTGATACTTTCAGTTGAATTACCAGGATAACTTGAGAGAATGTAACTTATCTCATTCAGAAGATAATACATTAGCAAAGACCTTAGTACAGTCCCTGATCTTGTAGCTGTACTAGTGACCACCATGAAAACTGACAGTAATCAGCAGAACTGTCCTTTAATACTTTTTTTTTTTTTTTCAGATATGGTGCTATACTCAGAGGTCACAAAATACGGCCTTTGTGTATACTGCCACTTCTTGGTAAATAAGAATGACTGTAGCAAATTCCTGTAAATAATCTCAAAGTAACACTACAGAAAGATTCTGGCTACGCTAATGCTAGGTCATCTATAAATAGTCCTGCTAAATTCCTGTAAAGGCTAAAAAAATGGATAAAAGCTGTCCACATCCCATAAGTGTGTGTAAGAACCACATGCTCTGTGTTTGGTGATAATACCCCATGCAACCCTCATCTCCAAAGCACACAGTGAAAATAAGGTGCAAGTGCATTTACAATATTGTGGTGATAGATGTGCAAGTGTCCATGCACCACCTACCCATATGAGACACACTTCCTCCTAAAAAAGTCAAATAGAGTAACTTTGTCAGTAACATACAAATTTACTGTCTACTGACTAGTGAATTATAAATCTTTTAGAGGATTATTTCTCAAAAATATATCTACTGGTCTTCTCCAAGAGGTGGAAGGGACTCTGCTGGGGAAAACATGTTCTATTTAAATTTTTTCAGTATGGAACTGACACTGTCCCTTAACTAAAAGTGAACTATGACAGCCCAGATCTGCGTATTCTTTGTTGTAAATACTTATTCAACACTTCAGTCAACTTGTACCGCTCCCACTGAAGGCTGCATGACTGATCTTACACAGGAATTTTGTTTGTGGGACAACAGAGAAGGTAGATTGTGCTCCAACCTGGAGCAAACAAAGGGGATTTTCTGTTTGGATCAGTTACGGAGAAATAAAGCTTACTGAAACTCTTATAAATGGAGCAGATACCATGCTGAAATGTTTTGTAACACTCCAAGTCACTCAAAAACTAGTTGTCTAACTTAGTCAGTATTTAAATTTCTTTGATACAGCCTAGGAACAAAAGGCAATCTGGGCATTAAAGTGCATCTTACCCAATATTTCTAATAGTCATTATAAATAACTTTTTTCTATAAAACAGTGTATTTTCTCTAGAATATTCACATGCCAGAGAATAGACATCATTAAACAGATGTGCATGACGGCTGCAAGGTATGCTATTATAGTGAATCAGACCAAGGGAGATGATTGCTGAAGATATGTCACTCATTTGGGAAAGAAGAAGATGAGTTGCACAGAATCACACTTACTAAGCGCTGCCTGCACTGTTACAGCCTCCGACTCCTGTGAGTTTTCACTCAATCCTAAAGCATTCACAGCTTTCACACGGAAGACATATTGCTCTCCAGTTTCCAAACCATGAACAACAAACCTGGGTTAAAAAAGATAGCATCACATATTAGTGTATATTTTACGGGAATCATTCTATTCTGTAACATGAATTTGTTGTGTCAATTAAAAAGCTCAACTTCATGAGTGCTTCACAAAGGAAAATATTTCCAAGAGGAAAACTGTAAAAGGTATGATGTAGTACAATATAACTGGAAGGGACGCTGAAGCAAAAATTGCAGTACTCATTAGATTGTTAGTATTGATCTAGCAGGTGAAGTCAGAAAAAATATAATCTATTCCCTCTAAACTTTATCTTCCTAAATTCTAATCTGTTCTGGGAAGAAAATGTATTTTTCACTGTAGTTTTATATTCATTGTCAAAAATAGTTTTCAGTTTTGATCTGAGTTTCTTAGGTAATTACTGCACTAAATAAAATACTCAGAGATATCCTACTGTAATATATGTTCACATATGAAGAAATGAAATGTGCTTTCTCAACCCTCTTTGACCAAGAATTAGTCTCTACTTTTTTTAATCAAATTTCTTGACTACTTGAAAAAAGGACTCATCGGAATACAAAGTCACTCAGTTAATGAGTTAATGACTGACATAATACACTAAACAAAATGATATGCTTGTTATAGAAAATACAAACTAAAAATCTAATCTTTGCATTTAGTGATTGATTCCAATAAAAATAAATATGAATTTTCACAGAGGAAATTGCTTGAGGAATCTCATAGTGAAGTTTGATATCTTCAGGAGGGAGTAAGAAATCATCAGAAATTGAAACAGTGCTAATGTCGTGACAAGGGAATTAGAGTCTACTGTTCTTTATCTAGAAATGTAACAGATCAGGGAGCTCTGATGTTTCTGGAATGGGACACTTGGCTTTCCTGCACAATAGTGTCAGCTGCCAAAGCACTTTCACCACCGTATTTATAGCAGAAATGGCCTGACCTTTTGCTCTGTTATTCATGGACTATGATAAAGCTATAGAATTCCCTCTCCTTTCTCATACTTTTCCTCATCAGATCTGTTTACCCCACAACATAACTCATATTTTAAAAGGGCATATTTTGCACTTATTCATGTCCAAGACACTCAGAATCATGTCTCTAGAATCTGCTTTTAAAACTCAAAGTGTGGAATAGAAAAATATATGCAAAAAAAGAAAAAAAAAAAAAAAAAAAGAGGAAAATTGCCCTGCAATTTTGAAATCGTGACTCTGAGAGTCTGCAGACTGTTTTTCTTCACATTCATTCAACATTCTCTGTCAATTATAATCCTATGGTTTAGCATATAAAGTGTCCTAAAAATATCCCGCAGTTTTCAAACTTCCCAAAAATAAAGGAATACTATCAATACCTGTTATATTTAATAGGTTTATGGTTACTGGGTTCCCAGCGATTTGATCCCACCACAGAATACTCAATGTAGTAGCCATATAAATCCTCTTCATGCTTTGGTTTATCCCATTGAACTACAACTGATGTTTTTGTATTCCTTGTGGCCACCACCTGACCAGGTGCAGATGGTAAAACTGAGAAAAAGAGATAAAACATATACATATTAGAAAAGACATAAAAATAAAACTAATTTGAACTAGATGAAACACTGTATAATTTGATCATATTTAATCACTACAGCTATAACTACTCCTACCATGTTAATCTTGTTATATGATAGGTATTTTAATATATTTCTTTAAGTCTGGGTATCTATACATATGTGTGTATACAATTTTTTTCTATTTTTTTTCTCAGACTGCTCTGTGAGGCTCCTTACCTATATGATTCTATACAGGTTTTATGATAGTCAATTATAGGAGCACATATTTTCAAATAGGAGTGTGGATAAAAGCATATAGAGATGAAAATGTGTGTGTCTACAAGCACATATTCTTGAGCTGCCACTATAGTGGGCTAGGGCTTAACTCAGTTACACAAATAAATTAATTTAGGGCCATTTTGGACCATCTGTCACTTCTTCATGGAGTTGTCAGATACGACTCAGGAGATAACACCTACAGTCCTCTGAAATAGCAAATTGAAAGCATATGAAAAGGATGTCACTGTGGCCAGGTAAACTGAGCCTTCCATCAGAGCTCAGTAGGGTGCTGAGTATTATCCATCTCACCCCAAAACAGACACTCTACAGCTGGGTGACATGGGGCAACTGGTGACAACATCAGCCAACTTATATTCTAGGCTCCAATTGCCACAGTCAGAGCAGAAGCATCTACTGCACATGTAGATAACAGACCTGTGTTTGGAAACACCCAAATTTAGATTTTAACCTCAAACTTGAATACTTCTTTACCACTCAGTTGCATCACTTTCAGTGTCATTTAGGATGGCCTAGAATACCCCAACCATTATTTAGTTTCAGCTCATGAGGTACCAATAATCACTGAGTAAGGATTGCCATCCCCATGAAGGTGTCCCAGTCACCCTTAAGAATATCAAATGACACTAAGTGAAGGCAACTAAAAGGAGTCAAGTGTTTCTGCTATACTTTAGCTCAGGTGGCAAACTCTGGTTCTGAAAATATTCCAGAAGTTTCTCTTTAAATGGTGCTTTATTTAAAGCCATGATTATGCAGAAGGTGTTGCGTTAACCCTGAAGGGATAACTTACTTTCTGTACTAAGTGCAATAAATACAGTGTTTTTCTTCTCTGCCTTGGGGAATGTTGAATGGTTTAAATAATTTATGTGCATTAATGAGACATCAAATCAAGAATATATGAAAGCAAAAGATGCTTTTCTTTGTCACGTAGTTACAGATCAAGCTGAAAGTATGGATTATATTTTTTAACCATGGCATATCAGATACTTTAAATATTTTTTATATTGCTAGAAAGCATACTAGTAAGATGTGCACTAATTGACAGTTATCAATACATCAAGCTATTATGTGTGACGTCTGTAAAACTGTAAAAACAAAACAAATATTTCAAAAACAAGATGAATAGCCGCTCCCTAAATTTTCATTTGTGTTTTTGAATGTGATCCCGAGATAAACACTTAATTTTCATTTGGAAAATCACCACTGAATATGTAGTTGTATCTTTCCCTGAAGTCTACTCATCTGTATGACAGACGAATAGTGCACTAGCAGTAATTTTCAGCTCAGAATACTAAGAAAGAAAGGAAAGGCTACCTTATCTAGCTGAAACTGTAGGGAATTAGGTACTATATAATTACCTGAGCCAGAAAATATAATTATCTAATTTAGTGATCAACCTATTTTTTGATGTCGCATTAATAGACCACTGAAGAGTGAATAGCTAAAAATAGTAATACTGAATATTGTTTTCAGTAGCAAGGCTTGTGTTCACTAGGAAAATTCAGGAAAGTGTCTAAAATTCAACATCTCTGTCTTTTTTAAATCCTTCACAGAACTGAACACAAAAAAGTCAACTACTAGTATTGTAGTTATACTAATCTAATGAGAGTTGTCTATTTCCAGTTTGTAAAATATCAATGGTTTTTAATATTAATGTCTTAAAATTAATACCTTACCAATAGTATCTTGTGGTTGAATAGGTTCTGTGATTTCAGATGGATCACTGATGCCATTTTTATTTGCTGACAACACTCGGAAAACATATGGTTTTCCTTCAGCAAGGTCAAAAACTGCATAGCGAGGAGATTTTACTGCAACCTGTGCATTGACTCTTTGCCAGCTTCCACTGCCAACCATGGACTACAAAAAACAACAAAAAAGCCATGAATAATTTCTGTGAACTGTCAAAACGTGAACATATTGCTGTATTGCATCCTGTCATGAATTTATTTAGGAGCTATGAGATAAGGATCACTCTCAAATGCCTGACTTAAACATATGCAAATTCTCATTGCTGGCGCATTCCATTATTCTACAAAAAGGTCTGAATAGCTCACTGTCTCCTTGCCTGTCTCGACTTCATGCACACTTATACATACAGCCAGCCTTCTTTTGGGGCTGTGACTGTCAACTGTGATTGGCCCCAAGGAATTCCTTTCATGTCCTGCAAAACTCACATGAGCACCCAAAGTTTTGGAGTCAAGCAAACAACCCCTAATCCAAATTCTGCAGAAAGGTGGGGAGGGAAATATTACTTTACTCACAACTTTATTTATTCTGTTGAGTAAGGTCATGTCTCCTAAAAGCATTCATCAAATGAAGTAATTACTTTTGTGTATTCTCAATGCAGCAGCTGAGCTTATCATCACCACAACTGCGCATGAAAAAGAGCCAGAAAATCAGTACTCTGAGAGAAATCTGCTGTCCATTAGATTTCCCACATAAACTGTTTATTCTAACCAAAAATTAGTCATGGAACTTTCAGAAATTTCAAAATTTTTAAAAACATATGTGCCTAATAAACAGCTTGAAGAAAATTTCCTTGGTACACAGAGAGGTGCATATAGGTTATATATTTATAAAATTTTGGAACAGAAATTCCAGGAACAAAATCTTATAGACTGTGAATCTCTTAGAGGAGGAACAGTGTTTCATGGGTGCTTGGAAATTTCCCTGTATATAATGACACCTACAGTAGACAAATAATAATAATGTAAACAGTTGGAGTCCATATAGCAAAATCTTTCTCATAGGTACTGAACCCACCTAGTGTTCTCAGCAGAAAAAAAAAAATATAATTTTCATAATTAAAAGCTGTAAAATATGAAATAAATATTATTTTGCCATAGATTTTGCTTCATACCATGAAAATCATTAATTTATTCTTTTCACAAAGAATCAGCATCACATTTTGTTCTGCAGTTTGACTTGATTTATCTGTTAAAAAAGTATTTCAAGAGAACATAGAAAACTCATTTCCATATTGTGTCTCTTGAAGGCTTTACAAATGCATTTTTATTCTTCAGGATTGAATCTTCTTTATTTGAAATAAAATAATTAGAAACTGTTGTAAATTAACAGATGACAGTGGAAAGCAAAAAGCAAACATTCACCTATGAACTGACTAAGATGTTCCTATACATCAGTTATTTATGCAAAAAGATTTTAAATTCAGGTATTAATTAGTGCAATGAACCTCTTTTGTCTAATTTTAGTCTTCATTCTTACTTTCCTTCAGTAAGTCTGGTGTTTAATTGAGACTTTTTTTCATCGTTGTCACTGCTTGTACTGTTTCTGGAGCTATAAAAATTTATTTGTATAAAACAAGCAGATGATGTATATTTTCCAATTCATTCTTAGAATGAAATTCAGCTAAACAAGTGTAGGTGTCTACTCAATGGAAATCTACTTCTGAGCTTTTTATCTGGGCTATTTCTGCATATTCTGGAACTAATAATGTGCTTCTATGACACGAACTGGTTCAAAATCCTTACATCTATATTCTTGAAATTTATAGATAAACAAAGACATATGTAAGTGGGAATATATGCAAGAAAGACATTATATCTTATTGCATAGAAATAAAAACTAGATATTTATTTGAATGAAAATTTTTATTACTTCTTTTGAATCCATAAGGCAGAATGGGAGAAATGGTCATGCTTGCTGGAAAATTTAACCAGTGAGTGGTGTTCACTTTACATCGATTTCTTCAACATCCAGCAAGTATTGGATGATGAAGCGTGTAGAAATGGCCTATGGAATTCTTTTGAAGTGGAGGGGGTTTTTGTGTGTCTGAGAGGGAAAAGACAAGCTGGGGTCTGCAAAAAGAGGGGTGACATGAACAGGACAGCTGGGGAATGAACTGTGGCAGAAAGTGCAGAGTTTTAGATGTGTGAAGGAAAAATCTTGCATAGTAAGGGCCTGAGAAAAGGCTGCTACAATATTCATGGTGCAAATTGAACGTGTGGCAGTTTTATGAAGAGGTTTAGTATTTGTGCATTGGTAAGAGGGTGCATGTGCTAGAGGCATAATTCATAAAAACTAAGTATAGCTTGACCTGTGTTTTAGAGGTCAGGTATGAGGCCCATTTTACCTACTAGGAAAACTTTGTAACAAGTTGCTCTAATCCAATATAATTTGGAAACACGGGTCAGGGACAGATTTATCTAAATTTTATTCACTTATGTGGATGAAGAACAAACCTCTCCTACTGTGAGCACTGAAGTCTCCTTTCAATGCAAAGAGAAGAGGAAGGCAGCCATGAAGAGTACCAGGACCAGTGAACCTGAGACAGGCATCTGCCTCTTTGCTGACCTTACAGGGGATAAATTGGAAATGTCAGTGTACAGTAGATGCTGCAAAAAGTGAGGATCAAATTATGAGTTACTGTTTATTCCTTTATAAACAGTAACAGAACTAACAGAAACTTCCCTTTTTTATAAAGAGACTGAAAACTTACAATCATGCCTGTAGGACTGTGAAAACTATAGATGTTTCTTATCTTTTTCTTCTTTTTTTTTTTTTTTTTTTTTTTTTTTTTTTTTTTTCCTGCTAAATGTTCCCATTTAGACAGCAGTAAGCAAATAGCATAGGGGAATCCTTTTCTCTGGGCCTTGAATTTCAATGCTCATTAAAACTTAAAGTAAGTTTGATTATCCATGTTTCTCTAATATCCCACTTCCAAATCCTGGAATACCACGGAAAGTGTTAGTTTTATTGCTCATTCTGCAGTTCTGAAAATGGCTTGAGTGTAACTGCACACAGCAATGAAGCACCTTTCAAAAGAACACCACTACACAGTGAAATACCTTCTCAATGAAATATGTCAGTGGCTCCCTGCCACGGGGAACAGGTGGATCCCAGCTGAGTACAACATAAGTTTTGCTGATTTCTGAAGCATGTACATTGGTGGGAGGGCTTGGAATCTGAATATCCCCTGTAAGATTAATAAATGTAGCAAGTGTTAAACAGCAAATTAACTCCTGGGTCAGCATTCATGCTACAGCTCATCTTTCTGATTCAACTTTCCCACCCTGCACTGCAATGCTCAGCTATTAGGGGCTGTGATATCATCTGTACAGTTCACCTGATCACTTCAATTAAATTTTGATAAACAAAACTTCAGTATTAATAGCTAGTTACTTACTCTTTCAGTAAAGGTTAAATGTGCTCCCTGAAACTTTGCATTTGTCATACTTTTTTCTTTGATCACGTTTGAATTACTCCAATCTGCTAGTAAAAGGTCTACTCACTATATGCAAACATTTTTTGATCAAAGACAGAAGTTTAAAGAGTTATTATGAGAAATTAGAACTTTAAAAAGTTCTAATTGCTAGAAGGGAAGTACAATCAGAAAAGAAGCTTTAAAACAAAGAGGAAACTGGGTAAAGGAACAGAACATATTAGCCATATACCCTATAACATGACGGTATTATCAGCTGTATAGTCTGAAGCACTTCTAAAATCTAGGAATCAGAGACACAAAAATATGTCACCAACCCTCTGATGGCTCCACCACGTAGTGTGGCCTGATCAAATCACTCTCCCCACTCTTTGCAGTTACCAGCACTGTTAGAGACAACCTGCCTACCCTGGGCCAGGTAGGAAGACTTCAGCTCAGCCTTTCACAGCCATGCTCACTGACTGCAACTTGAGAAAAATTTGGTTCTGCTATCCAAGGAATTACAATGGGGTAAAACAGCATTAAATGGGAGAGTGACCTGTGATGGACATATGATGGACCTCTATACAGGCACAGCTACACAGCCCTGAAGAAGCTTTGACTTGGTAGTAGGTCAGAAATTGCAACTCAGCAGACACCCAAAAATGTTATCTTTATGGTTTGTGATAAAAAAATCTTTGCTCTTTGAAGGTAAATTTTTCCACTTCTCAGGCTAAGAAAAGAGCATATATCCTCTAAATATTTGTCTTTAAAAAAGAGAAAAATATTTCAGTAATAATCTCTAAATCATGGCAGTGATATTTTAAATGATTATATATATCTGTTGAATGAAACAGACTCAAAATATACAGTGATATTATTTCATCATTTATACTTGCCAAATCAAAACCAAACTTTTTTTAAAGCAAACTGACATATCCAATGAAAATTGATTTCTCACAATGCTTTCTATATTTGATTTCCTGCAATTGTATTTTTTTCCTTCAGAAAGGCACATGAATCAGCTGAGTTTAAGAGGAAATTGATGACATATAATCAAGAAAATTACAATAATCCTTCACAGCATTAAGTAAAAAGGCTTCCAAGTGATTTCAGGTAACAAAATCTCAACATGTTTTCTTTCATTCTTGAAAAAACAAAAGCTCCCATATTTTGTAATGATATAACCTGGTGGTACAGAATCGTTGCCAGAATGGCTCATCAGCCTGCACTAAAAAGGAAAACCATTTGTGATCTGTGAGATTGTTCTTTCAGAAATAGACTTCAATCTCGAAAATGAAAGTAGTGATCTACATAAAGAGTGATATTTGAATATTCATCCTCTATTAAATATGCACATTCATGTGACAGAAATCCAAATATCATTATTTATGACTATTCCAGAGTGGCCATTTACTGGACCTGATCATTTTAAGGCAATCCTGAGAGCAGAATGATATATGAATCCAAAGAGAAAATTACAATCTGATATTGTGATGTGCCTCTGATCCTGTAATACCCAAATCAATTTATTTAGGTTACTATTACAAAAATGGAGAAACTTTCTCTGTCCAGTCCATGCACTGGGAAAGCCATTTAATGTCTGATTCTCCTTCAAACTACTTTTTTTTTTCTCAGGTGATTTTTCTTTTACTGTGTTATTTTTAGAGTTGTAACTTTACAACCTTTGTGAAAGAGAGCAGGCAGACTTTTTTTTTTTAATTTTTAGCCATTATAATTAATAATTTTAGCAGTTTAAGTGTAAAGAAGGTCATTATTCAAGTATAAAAACCAAATAATTCCATAGAGAAACAACCAAAACCAGAAAAAATTCAAACTTTATCTCAAAAGTTGTCAGGGATCTCTCCAAGTCTCCTGAGGAAAAACATTATTTAGTCTATAACCTTAACCTTAAGAATAACCTTGATTCAGGTCAATTCAACCTCAATATGTCCACCTAAATTCAGGTAGACATATTAAAGAATTGAGATAGATTGTGTAAGTTTTTATCAGAATGGCAATGACTTGCTCAGATAGTCAAAATCAGTCTAAAAAAACTATACTTAGCTTCCAGAAAGCTAGAAAGTGGGGAAATATGGGCAATCAAATGGACAATTAAATGTTCAGCTATTTCAGTCAGCTTAGCACTAGTAAAAGCAAAAGGGTGTGAAAATGTTGTCAACATATAAGAGTTTTGCTGTTGAGAGTGCGATGATCCCCATCCTTTAGACCTCACTGTTCACTTGTGTTCTCAACCTCACAAGTATGTGTCTTTAATTCCTAATGGATTTCTTTTCAAATTATGTTTCTAATTATGATGCAAAATTCCTGGAGTATAAGCAGATGGACTGAAATTGCAGAAATGCTACATACCTTCAAGGTCATCTTTACTGATCACAATCTTTCGCCCTTCATCCACATGAACAGCTGTTAATCAAAATATTCAATTAGTTTATCAAACTAGTTCAATATATTTACAAATCTTGCAAATTATTGCATGTCACATGTTCAAAAGCCTGTATACCTCTGCTTCTGTAATGTTGCTTTTAAATCTTTCCCCAGACAGAGTCAACTTGAAGTCTTATACTGGTTTTTAGTACTTTTGTAGGAAAACAGGACATGATAAGACAGTGCTATTCAAAGATGTGCTAAAAAGCAAGAGTCATACTTTCAGTAGATGGATTTGATTTTGAGGGAGATTAGTATTCAATTGTATCATGAACTGTACTTTTGTTATAAGAATTAATCACAAACCATACACACATACATGTAAAAAAAAAAATTGCATGTTCAGCTAAGATTTCACAGGCAACACTGGGGCAGTGCTTTAAGGTATTCATAATTACTTTAATTCCCCTTTGACCAAAAGGAAAACATGAAACAGAAGGTGTGCAAGTACATGATATATGGAATCTGCACAGGGGTTTAGGACAAGGCTAAATCAACAAACTACTCCCCAGAGCAAGCTGGCTTACTCTATTCATGGAGAAGCTCTCAAAACACTACTTTGCAGTCTGTAGTGAGATATTCAATCAAAGGAAGAAATAAACTCTTCTCCTTAAGTAAACTGGGAAAACAGAATCTTAAATCAAATAATTTTTTTAAAGAAGCCTTGAATAACCTACTTTGCGTTCTCTCCAGGTCAGCGGGGTCAAGTGCTGCAACTGGTTCCGAGGCTCGAGAAGGCCGGCTAATGCCGGCACTGTTCACTGCTCTCACACGGAATATGTAAGACCGTCCCTCTTGAAGACCAGTCACAGGATACTTGCAGACTTTTACAGGAGCATCATTGCACTGGACCCAGTTTTCCAGACCTACTTCACATCTTGGAATAACAGAAGACAGCATTTGTCAGCATCATCTCACAATAAATATGCCCCATGCTATCCACACCAAGTCAGAACCACAGAAGTCACCTTTGCTAGGCTGAGGAGCTAAACCATACATCTCATTAATGAAAGTCACACACTTTATACACTCTTCTCTGGTCAGAGATCCAATTCCCACTCCATTCATGTTTTTTTCATAATGCAAAGGTCATTTGTCTTCCATGTCTTTTTGCCTTTTCAAATCTATCTGCTTCTCTTCTGTTTGGTTCTCTTCCTTGCCATGTAAAGAATAAATTATTCACTTTCATTTTTAATATTCATCTCCACAGAACATGATGAATTTGCAAGATTTACCTAATCATTTTCATCTCTTCTTTGTCATATTTTCAAGTAAAGTTCTTTGTGACTTTCCCTCCCAGAATGACTGGGCCACAGAGTATAGGAGTCATCAAGAAGCAGAGTGATGTCCTCATACTGACTGCTTTTTGTGTACATATATATTTTGTGTCTTACTACTATAAACTTTTGTGTGGAAGACTCTCTTTTGCCCTGACTGTACCAGAAAAAAGTTGTGTCATGATCAAAGGCTCCTTGGCATTGCAGTGATACAAGCAATGTGTCAAACAGCATATTTGACTAGATTATGCACAATATAGGTGAAATACTACTATAATCTATGTACTGCATAAATTGGATATAGATGGCAGAGTCCCCAGGTCTCAAGTTAATTTCCTCACACTGACTACCATTCATAAACTTCTATTTTTTTAGTTTTTCCCTGACAGTTATCTTTGAATTAGACCAAATGACAGGGTAGCAAATAGTGAGCTGCAAATGTTGCTTTTAAGTGCAGAGCAGAATACATTATGAAATCATTTCAGTAAGGCTTTGCTGACTGACAGTTTCAGATACTAAGGATAAGGTGATCTGCTCCGGCTACAAGGAGCAAGCATTCACTTCAGTGGGAGAGCAAAACATACAAAACAGTGCTTGGATCCTCTGCTTGTCAGCTGCCTGCACTGATCTGAACCCCAGCAAAGTGCAAAGCTCACTGAAGGACAGAGGCCTGCCAGTCTGATGTAAACTGCCAGCTCCCAGGAGTCCAGGCCTTGAGCTCCTGTTGTACTACATTCAAGAAAGAAATAAAAAGATAATGTAATAACTCCTACATTTCAGCTTTTGCAGCAGAGAGATTAAAGAGACTAAATCTAATTCAAGATGCCCATGGATTCTAGCCTTTATAAATTAAATACTGTCAGGGCTCATTTTCTGATGTGCCCACATCCATACTATTGAACATTTTAAGTGTATGATAAAATGTGTCTGCCTGCAAATATTACTTGGAATGGCCTCCAGCCCCTGCTAATTCCCAGACTGTGCCCAGACTTTCCTGTGAAAGTACTAAATCATCTGGGCCAAAAGTTTTCCAGGGAACAATCTCATAATTTAACACAATGTGTGACTGAGTTCCAGTGCCAAGCGTTCTGTAAAAATATATCCAAAGAACACCCACATTGAAAAGATATAATGGTATTTTTTTTCTCTTCAGTATATACATATTTCTGGCAATTAACAAAATTAAATACATGCTAATGTTTACATACTTGTCAACAAAATATCCAATAACAGGGCTCTCACTGGTTGTATTCGGTGGTTTCCAGGTAACAATAACATAGTCTCTGTTAGCATCATGGCATTTAACATCCATTGGTGCCCCTGGTGCTCCTGCGATCAATGCATCAGCATCTGGACCACAAATTAAAATAAATTGGTTTTGACCCCAACTCCTCTGATATACATCAAAAAGTCAAAGGGAATACTTTCAGTTCATTGTGCTACTTGTTTATATGAATTAGTACATCATGAAATTACATTTCATGATGTACTAATTCACTGCAATAATGATTCAAGACCATAATGTCTATATTTTTATACAGACAAACTGTTCAAGGATATTTTTGAGAACAGAAAAGCTTTTTAGGAACCAAACATGTGTTATTTTTTGTGAGAATTAAAAGCTTAACCCACCCATGTGGTTTTGATTCTCTGTCACACTGAAAGCTGTGACTCAGTGTGTTACCAATCAGACCAAGGTACTCAACAAAAACCATGCAGATCAGGAAAAAAAATCTGTTAAAGAATGAAAAATTTGCAAACTACTGGAACATTTATAATTCTATGTTTTATTTATAGTCCTAAATACCACCTTTTAGATACCCTTTGTGGCTTCATTTTGAGAGATATTGACTAATCTGGACCCACAACTCCTAATGAAATCTCTTAACAAATAAAGCTCTCTCCCTTCAAAGGGAGATTTCTATAACAAAAAAAAAAAAAAAAAACCAAACAAAAAAACCAAAAAAAACAACCACCTTGTAGAGAGTCTAATCCCAATCAGTTGTGAAGTAGTTTGTGCTCAGTATCAGATCACAGCCTACATGAAAAAAGGCAATAGAATGGCCAACAGATAACACTAGAGACTCCAGAGGACAAAGCACAAGGCCAGGGTCCTGGGCATGCAAAGGCATCAAATTTAGCATAAAATAGACAAAAGAGATGCCTAAAATTTACCCATCACTACAACAAAAACTTCTAAGAAATGTTTTGTATATGAATGGGTGTTTTTCACCCGAATAATGTCTTTCTTGGAATGTAATGTGGATAGAAATAGCTTTAGCAAATTGTTTCTAATGAGATCAGGATGCCAGAGTGGCTTGTTCAAGACATACTGCAAAGCTGATGAAGCCTTTGCACCAGTCCTGTGAGGAAGTTGGATTTCAAACCTCTGAAAAAGACATTCCCTCCCTTTACCCCACACAAACTGTCTGGATGACACTCCCACAAGGTACATATGTTCCAATATGTTTCCAAGAAGAACAAGGTTTAAAATTAATGCAGCTACAGTGGCCTCAGTGGGGCTGTTCCAGTTTGCGCATATCAAGGATGTTGTCCAATGTATTAAATAGAGTGAAAGAACTGCTTAAGCAGAAATATTTTTATCTTTCAGTGAAAAAAATATAAAACTGAATACTAATTTCTACTCACAGGTCCATTTAGAAGTTCATTTTTACCTCACTGAGAGCTGTGCATTGAAATGTGATGAAAAGTTCTGACCTTTATTCTGTTTTAATACATTTGCCTCCTTTTATCTATGTCTCTTGTGAAAATTGTATTTCTTCAGTCAGTTACTTTCTTACTTTGTTTCTTTCCTCTGGTTAATAACATGACTATGACTGGTATAGTGGTGGGAATATTTCTTTTGCTTTCTCTTGCATGTATCCCTAAGACTAGGCACAAGATACAAGAATGCCCAACAAGCCTCATTCCCAAAGTCCAATCTCTAAAGCCAAAACCTTTACATAAGTGAGAAATGATTGTATGCAAAGGTGTTTATTTCCTACCAGGAAAGGAGATGAACAAGAAAGAAAGAAGTTGTTTCTTCCTAAGCATGGTTGCTCTGGTTCTCCAAGAAACAAAATGTCCTCAGAAGCTTCCTCCTGAAGCTCCCCATTCATGTAAGGTGACTGGTTTTTCATACAGACTACTTTACACAAATCAAATTATTATGAAATTCCACAGGGCTAAATTTCTTTCATACATCAGTAATTACTTGGAATTTTTTTCATAAAACTAAACTGTATAATGTTTTTTAATTTCTCCTCAAGAACCAGATTAAGAGTTTACCTCTTACAAACAGGTATGCACTGCATTCACTGATTCCACCTCTTGAAACCATGCGCAGGGTGTATAAACCTTCATCATCTTTGTTCAGATGAGTAAATGAAAGAGCTGCCTGGCCTTCTCCAAAATACAGCTTTGTCCACTTGGAGTCTGTTAGCAGCACATCTGCAAGAAAAGACCCATCAGACATGTTACTGTGGTGCTAGAATAACCTGCATCCTAGTGCAGCTCTCTGTTAACCAGGGACACAGACTAATATTTATGCCAGTTTTATTCGGAATGATAGTGCTTTGGATGGTATAAAAATGCTACAGAGAGTAAGTTGCATCTCTCTAAAATTATTCAATCAGTGAATTTTAAAGAATATGAGGTCTAGTAATACACAATATAGTATCAGCCACAAATTCCTATCACTATTCTTTTTAATACACTGAGAGACAAAAACGTCACATTTAGAAATATTGACATGAAAAGCTGCTATACTCTATAATGAATGCAGGGTGGGACCTGATGTCATTTTTAATAAATTTTGCTTCCTGTTGAGGTCAAATGTCAGTTTATTCAACTTTTTCTTCCAAATTTAAAAAAATATATTTCAGTTTAATCTGAAAACTGATATAAATATACATGAAACTTAAATCTTCAAGGCATGCCTGTTGAGCATTGAATTAAATTAAATTTAAACTTCTCAAAGGTGAGAAGTGGTGACCCAAGATTAATGCACATTAATCTGATTGCCCAGTGAAATCAGAACAAAAGAGTGAACAGGATGTTTTATGCTAGGCAAGGGTCTTTCTCATATCATCCTTTTAAATAACTGATTGGGTTATTTTTGACTTTTAACTCCCTAAGGCAAATCATAGACAAATTTATTGTAATCAATGCAGCAGAACTGTATTTAAAAGGTCTGAATATCTCTGAATGTTTATTATTCTACTGCTTAAATAGATTTTGGAGCCAACACTCAAACATTTGCAAAGGAATCAGTGTTCTCACCTACCAGCTGAGTTTCATAAGTAGGTAGAAAACATGACACACGTTCCAATAATAAAGCATGTGGCAGACACACACTACTAAATCTTACAGCAGTAAATTGCATAATCAGCTAAGCATGTAGTAGTTTATGAGAAGAACACAAACCAAATTCAATCACATTCTTTCCCATCAGATACTTAGTCATGAGATCCTTACCTAGAAAACCTGAGTATCCCGTTTCTGCCATGCCACAATGGTACTCAGACTTTGTGTGCAGAGACATGTACTTTAAATTAAATCAGAAAATATCTTCAACTAGAAAATTTAATCAATGCATGAGCCCTGTGGAAAATCCTAAGCATAAAAAAATTGAGTAACCAGCATCTCTGAAAAGATGGTCACTTATTTAGACTCAAAGTTTCAGTGGATTGGTAGCCACCATAGCTTGAATATATAGAAATTGTAGGCAAGTCTGCGATTCTACTAAGGCCAGAATCACCCATTTCTTTATGTGTACCTGATAGCAGAAATTGAGGAGGCAGTTGTGTTTGGTAAGAGCAGAAAAACTTCTCTTCCCCCTACAAGGCCAAAGATCCACCAGAAATTAACAGAAGCCTGCTTTTTTTTTTTTTATAATGCGGTCTGGATGAATGACTTTGTAAACAAGACAATTAGAATGAAGTTTGGACATATTTGTAGAACAAGTATTCCTAAACATGCTGCCATAATAATATCACAATTACAATTTCTGACTATTCACAGTCTATTCACATGTTGTGATCTGTTATTTTTCCCAGAATTTACTTGCAGAAGACTAATCCTCAGAAGCAGTATGTCTCAAACTTCACATGCTGTTTATAATAGATAAGATAATTTTCCTAATACATGACTCTCATTAAAATTCATACAAAGAGTGGGGAACTACTACATACTGAAACTTATTTTCATCATGTATTTTTTGTTCTGCTGAGATTTTAGCTAGATTCCTCAGTCCATGATTTTTCCTTATGAAGTCAATTATATTATTCCAGATTACAGTATAAATGGCTGCAGAATGCTGGTTCATAAAGCTTTATAGTGTTTATATTACATTAGAGATCAATAACAGAAAATTCCTATTATCAGCTTGTCATGTCCACATTAGATATACATTCCTGAAGCATTATTTGGATTTTGTTCTTTCAGTATCTTGAATGGTTCTTTCAGTATCCTAAATTGTTCTAAGTGGGCCATGAATAATAGACATCATATTCATGTTTGTGAAATCCCAAATTAATTCAGAGGATTTAATTGAGTTGACTTATATGCCCCTAGGAGTCTACTAGATACCCTCAGTAAGGCTCACTAGTGTGAAGTTTACTTATGCTAGATAAACACATACTTCTCCTGTGTATAATTATTAGAAGTAAATCACACATATCTACCTCAGGGCTTTAGTTGCTCTTATTTGATTAACACAAACTGAAAAATTTTAGAAAGTGTACTGTTGGAGTGCCTGAAATAGAAGCCTCTCTGAGTCCCTCAGAGAGAGAAAGGAATGCAGGGATTGAATGGGAACCTTTAGAGAAATTTAAATATATTATGCCACACAGCCATGAAGTAGGAGTATAAGTTTTAGTTTTAAGTAAGCAGAAATATATCTTAAGTGCCTTAAGAGACTGTGTTAGCTAGTAAGAAGTCCTAAAGCCTAGTTTAAAGTTCAGTAGTGTTGCCTTTCACAAAATTAACTCAGCTCCAGACATAACAAAAACATAGCAGCACATTGCTTGCATTTCTAGATAGAACAGATAGAACGTTTGCGTGAACAGATAGAACTATATGCATAGATTTTGTGTAAGAACTGACACTACTTTTGCGCATTAGAATTAAGCTCAGATAGGTGTAGGAAGAAGGCCTTAGAATTGTGTTTTTAGCTGATGATTTATGAAGAAAATCCCCCTGTACTGGGATGCAAAGGAGGTGGTAATAACTTCTGCTAGCTGCTTCTGCTGCTTCTGCTGCTTCTGCTTGGAAGATCGGGACTCTATGCCAGAAAGCTTTTAGCACGGACTAATACTCTCAACTCTATGCCTTTGAGATTGATGTATTCATGCAATAAACAGCTTTACAACAACCAGCAACTGTTCCTGTCTCTTCGAAGTCCCAAGACCCACTCATTTTTCGAAAGAGTACAGTCTTAATGCAAGAGTAGAATTAAATATTACCTCATGATGTTGGACAAGTTATTAACTTCTCATTGCTAATATTTTTGCATTGCCTCCAGCTCTCAAGGGACTCAACACAGGGAATTGTAGCACATAACATGGGTTCATAGTGCATGAATTCCTGCTGTGTTTGGGAAAACGTTCTTCCAGTTAATGTACGTGTGCCTTGGAAATATTGTGATCCGTGTACTTGTAATGAAGGAAAAATCTAAGCTTTTTTGTAACATCCTATTTCACGTCACATAAGTAGAATAATGGGATAAACACCTATCTGCCTCCCTAGCAAAAGTCTAGTGTTTTAAAACAGACCAAGTTTTCATCTCAGGTTTTCACAAGACTTATTAAGTTAAATAAGGGGAGAAAAAAAGAGCACAGTATTGTTATATATCAAGAAGGAATTATCTCGTCATTATGAAAGAGCAAAGAGAAAGGGTCATAAGCTTTAGTTCATAGTGCAAGAAAATGTCATGTCCTATGAAAAGTGGAACAATACTGTGCATTCCTTGAAAATTAGGTTTCAAATTTAGAATTTGAGAGATTTGGCACCTTGAGAAACTGTGCCCAGTAAGAGACAAGGTAAAGGTACTCTTGAAGATGATGGTTCATCTGAGGGTGAAGTGAGAGATTATTTTTAGTTATTAAAAATCCCAAAGCATATAGCAAAATTCCTGTATGCTTCAGTGGGAACAGAATCTGAATTAAAGGATCAGCCTTAGATTTTAGGTTATTCATCAAACAGAAAAAGGCATTTTTATTATCTCATATTTTTTACTTTGGTGATATCTAATAGCTCATCACAAGGAAGTAACCACAATGATAGAAAAATAGGAATGAAAAATTAAGTAGTAGTTTGTTCCCTGAAGAATCTCTATGTAAAAGTATGATGTACATGAAACAAAAGGCATAACAAGCAGTAACAAAACAATTATTTTTCTGATTTTTGTAATCTTGAATTTTCTTGACTGCCTTCTCAATCTTACTGTCATTTCTTAGTTTATTCTTCACATTTTGTCCACTATAGAAATTTCTGCCAATTTTTTGGGGATGAGTCCTAACATCAGTCTTGGAAGTCCACCATTCTCAAATGTGGTCCCCTTGGGGAAAGGTCCACCAACCATTGAAAAGTAACCAAGGCTTTCCTTAAATCTCAAGTAGAGTAATTACTTTAGAATCCTACACAGATTGTGGTTGGTGAAAACTGGTGGGATAAATATCTACAACAGGCTGCTATCCTAAGCTCTAAGTAGCTAGTTTTATGTTTCAAAACTCTTCTTTGCTGCAGTAAAAAACACTACTCATGTAAGGTTTGTGTATCATTCACCCCAGTATATGATAAGTTAAGTGATGTTATTCTGAGTGCTTCATGGTAAAACTGCTGCACCTGGCATAACATAGGTTTTCACAGACAAAAGAGGCAAGACAAGAAACCTATGATCACGGCACATAAACAGCAGAGCAAACATATATGTATCAGGCCTGGCTTCTATAAATATTGCCTAACTACACATTGATGTGATTTTAATATAAAATTCACAATTAATGCTGGAGCAAGATTAAAGTAGAGAGCCATACCTCAGTACTTCAAACTTTAATTTACTGCCCTGTGAGTACCCTTCAGCTCAGTGGTCACAGTATTCAACTATGAGTCATTGTGAAATCTAAGAACTGGCTTTGGATCTCTTCCAAGTAAATGTTATTACTATTGTACTATCACAATATGAAGTTACCTTCTGCTGCTGTTAATGTGTGCTCAAGAAAATGCTGACCAAGTCACTTAATTGAGAGTGCAGGACTATAAATTCTAACTAGAGATATTTCTTTTTCTCTATTCCAAATTTAATTCTGAGAATATGATGCTCTAAACCTGACCTGTATCCTCAATGTCTCCTCCAGCATTTTCCTGGTAGATTCTATTCAATGTGATAACTTACCATCTCTATACCACTCAGCACGAGGTCGTAGTCTTTTCAACTCTGGAGTGATCAACATAGAACACTTCAAGGTCAGTGTTTCCCCTTCAGTTGCAAAAGTGACTCCAAACTTCTCCAGAAACTGGACATCAATGTGGGTGAAGCAAATGTCATATGACAGGGGCACTATGCATGAGAAAATGAAAGCATTCTTGAGTACAAGTAAATTGTATGTGGCACAGATTAGTGTCTGATCTAAGCAGGTGATGGAATTTTCTGTTATATTGTATGCTGATCTAGAAATTCAACTGGGAAAGCAAGAGCATCAGGACAGCTCCTACTGTAACTCAGTGCTTAGAAATCAAAGTCAGAAGAAGTAAGTTGTATCCAGTTTTCTTGTCTGTAAGACATTGCCCAGACAAGAGGAGATAAATTATCTAAGCAAATAGAAAAAAAAGGCTTACAGTGGAAGGGCATTATTGCAGCTGGGTGAGGCTCTTCATCCTCTCTGAACCCTATGAATAAACATACAAGAAACATTCAATGACATGAATTATTATATTTATTTATTATTTTAAATATGAAGTAGGCCTTACTTCGCACAATCACAGCACAATTAGTTGATGCCTGACCGTGGACGTTTGTTGCAACTGCTGAATAGGTTGCAGAATCATCAAAGTCAGCTCTGAAAAGTGGAAGGAGAAAAACAGATGTCTCTTTATGCAAATTAAAATTCTTTTAATGATTGATATTACAAGCCAAACTATGTCAACCATAAGGAAAGTGAATAAAGCTCTTTACTAGTAGGAAAGTGTAGAAAGCTCTTTGCTGTCTACACAGTGCAAGACATCCATGAAAGATAATCAAAAAGTTGCTACTGTTTTTAATGGCAGTTTTATCACAGCTTAGTGTGCAGGCTTCATTAACTTGAGCAAACTGGAAATGACCTTTAGGGAATGATCAAAAGAAGATAGCTGGACAATGCCAGTCTGGCTATTCCCTTTCTGTATGTTACCTTCTTTAATCCATCTTGCTTTTCTGCCATATTTTAGAAGAGAGACATAGAATAAAATTACATGTCATTCTTGCTAAAATTGTGCCTTCTATGGGTATTCCCAGCTGGCAGACACTGGTATTTTTTGCCTCTCTAATATCTCAATCCAGGAAAATAATAAAAAATCAGGAACACTGATCAAAATTGTTTAGGTGAATACATAGCTTGGTTTGTTATATTTTTTAGTGAGAAAAGTATTCATTATGCAAGGACAGTATAAACAAATATAAAGCAAAAAATAGTTACTTGGCGCAGAACACTGTTAATTGTCTCACTTAATGCATCCTTCCTTGAAGTTCCATGAACACATATAAGATATAGCTACAAATCTTGATGTGCCAGTCCTTATTTAAAATTGAGTCCATCAGGAACAGTTTATTTAGTATTAAATTTAATGGAGGCCACCCAAAAAATTTCAGTTATAAGATACAATATTGTGAATGCATCCATTTAATTTCCTCTCAAAAGAACAAATTTGTGGCTTATTGGTTACTGCCAAGTGATGAAACTCTGATTGCACTTGTCCTCTAAGAGGTCATATATCCCAGATGTGGGAGAAAGAATATGTAAGGGTGTTTTATGGAAATTGCATAACAGGATGCCAATGTTGGAGTATGTAGCAGCTGTCACAGACACATCAGACACCCATTTTTCACTTCTTGCATATATTCTGGACAGTGTCATATCACAAAAATTATACTATCTGTACTGGGATGGCTAAAAAAGGACAACTTGATGAAAGTCCCATTAAATTGCAATTTATCTCTGTAAATTTACAGGTCTAACAGCTCCTCCTGGAGGCAACCCTACTGCCACATATTTCACAAAATCAAGAAATCAATTACAAAATCTATAATAAAATTAATTATCAAAGATGTAATGGTAATTTCTAAGACTAGACTACAGTCTTAACCAAAAAGCCTGCAGCTGGGTAGGAAACCCTAGTACGGTCTGGACAGGCACAGTGAGACTGAAAAACAATGTAAAAGAATTGAAACGACAGAATTGTTAAGGTTGGAAAAGACCTCTATGATCATCAAGTCCAGCTGTCAACGCAGCACTACCACCATGTTAAACCATTCAACCATGACTTCATGGGCCAGAGCTACAGGATTTTTGAAAACTTCCAGGACTGGTGATTCAACCACTTCCCTGGGCAGCCTGGTCCAATGCTTGACAACCCTTCCAATGAAGAAATATTTCCTAATAGCTAAACTAAACCTCCCCTGGTGCAGTTGAGGCTATTTTCTCTTGTCTTGTCTCTTGTTACTTGGGAGAAGAGCCGGGCCCCACCTGGCTACAACCTCCTTTGAGGCAGTTGTAGGAGCAATAAGGGCCCCTCTGAGCCTCTTTTTCTTCAGGCTAAACACCCTCATTTCCCTCAGCTGCTCCTCACAGGTATTGTGCTCCACATCCTTCACCAGCTCCAATGTCCATCTGGATATTCTGCAGACCCTCAATGTCTTTCTTGCAGTGAGGGGCCCAGAACTGGACACAGCACTTGAGATGTGGCCTCAGCAGTGCTGAGTACAGGGGGAAAATCCCTGTCCTGCTCCTGCTGGCCACACTATTGCTGATGCAGGCCAGGATGTCATTTGCCTTCCTGGCCACCTGGGCACAAGCTGGCTCGTGTTCAGCTGAAGTCAACCAGCAACCACAGCTCCTTTTCCACCGGGCAGCTTTCCAGACAGCCCATGCCCAACTTGTAGCCCTGCCTGGTGTTGTTTTCATCCAAGGGCAGGATTCATCATTTTGCCTTGTTGAACCTCACACAGCTGGCCTCAGCCCATTGATCCAGACTGTCCAAATCCCTCTGCAGACCATTCCTACCCGCCAGCAGTAAAGCACTCCCACCCAACTTGGTGACATCTGCAGACTGACTGAGGCTGCACCCATTCCCCTCATCCATGCCCCTGATGACAATATCAAACAGTTCTTGCTCCAGCACTGAGCACTGGGGATCACCACTTGTGACTGGCCACTAGCTGGATGTAATCTCATTCATCACCATTCTTGGGGCTGGATGTTATTTACACAGTTCGTTTTCATGAAGGATTTTAAAGAAATTACAATACCTGTTCCCAGAGCTATATAAAGCTTAACTGATTCTGGACTTATTTGAGAGATGTCAGACTTGACAACACTTCTTTGCAATGAATTTTTAAAAGCAGAACATTTTTATTTTTTACTATCCCAGTTTCACACTGTTTAACACTTGTGTAGTAAAATGCCAAAAAGCAATATAAAGCTGCAGTACAGGACGATTTCCTAAGGCATGTTATGCCTCTATACCGAAATGTGCATAGTTATTGCATTTATCAGTCTGGTACAGTATCTTACTATAGCAAGTTAACAACAAATGAAGAAGATCAAAAATTTCTTACAAGGAGCATTGCAAAATTAACTGTTCTGAATCTTTAAGGCATTTTTGTCATCTGTTATATCCCTAATTTAAGAATCTATATATAGAATATATAGTAAATAGTGTAAATATACTATATAGTATATTTAATAACATATATTACGTACTAGCAAATTAAACAGCATTCATCCCCAGAAACTGAATCTTTATTGCCCTAATGTCAATGCTTTAGAACACCCCCTTGCCATGCCTTGGTGTGCTCCAGCTCACCAAAAGGATTCCCACTCACAGCTCAGGAAATAGTAAGAGACCTTTTCCAGAAAGCAGTCTGGATGTCTGGCAGCCCTCTCCTGAAGGGTGAGAAAATTAGTCTATCTCATACCAGGAGGTCACTGTGGTAGAGATGTCTATAATTTGCTGTTGTCAGGCAGAGTCCAGTGTGTTTCCTAGGCACCGGTGGCAGGTATATGCCCTGTGTGCCCTGCAGTCCTCGTCCCCAGATACCTGCCCTATAAAGCCTCCTGCCCTTCAAGCCACAGCCGCTGCATTCTGCCAAAGACCTAAAGAGGTGCACAGTGTCTTCCTAGCACCTGCATGCCCAGGTTTCTCCTGGATGAGCTAGACCTTCCCAAAGGATGGTGCACACTTGCCCCTGGCAGGACATTTCTGGGAGAGCCATCCTGTGTATGCTGATCAGGCCTGATCCCTCCCTGGCCTGGGCATGATTTAGACAGCACACAGCACCCAGCTCATAAATGAGTGATGAACATTACACCAGAACTGCTGCACTAGGCCATTTCCTCACATAAACAAAGCATTACTTTAGGCTGCTTCACTTCTCTCAAATCCAACTTAACTGCTCTCTAACATTTTGTTGCTCCTATAGAGTGTTGACAACAAAGATAAAAAAATCAGCATTGCTTGACTGAGGTTAACTCTGATTAAATCTCACTTTAAACTAGTCATCATCTGCTCCCAGTGTTGACTTCATTTTCCAGTAGAACACCAGATAAAATTGTTAAATAGGAACCAATATATGTAAGAATTACACAGGACCTAGGATCTAAAGAGAGATTTACTGTTAAAAAACAGGTGGCCTAAAAGTAATCCAGAAAATAAAGAAACATGTATTGTGAACTAACTTGGGGTTCCAAACAGTGCTAAACCACTCAAAGTGTTAGAAATTTAAATGTGTAAAAACTGAAAAGTTGTCTCCTGAAAATGAAAAAGTAGAATGGCAGGTACCTGATTAAATTTTCAAATGGATATATATCTGTGCTCACGTCAATCCCCTTCCCATAGTTTTGCTCTCCTAAGAAACAGCAAAATACATCTTTTGATGAGCTCTTTCTGTTTGTGATGGTGTCCAAGGTAGAGAAAACAGAATATTATCTTAAATGTCTCTAGAACAAACAGGAGATTCACAAAAGGGTCATATCTTTAGTCAAAAGAAGCTCAAAATCTGAAGCAAATATTTCACAAAAGTTAGTGAGAGTTATAATTAATTTTCTCAGGAAGAAGTAACTAACCAAACAGCTGACCACTTTCTTCCAGCATCCTTTGTTTTTATGAAGAGAAATGAGGCTCTTACAGTTATTATGAACACACAATTCCACAGGCCAGGCACTTTTTACTATTTAAGAGGTCATAACAACTCTACCCATTTTCTGTAGCTTACTGCTTTGAAAGCAGTTTATAGGTCTTTGCTATGATCACTCCTCTGACTCTCCAGAAGAGAAATAAACCATCTCAGACAGCCTAGTATCACTAAGACCCCTTTAAATCTTATATTGGAAATGTAGGGTTTTAGTAGCTAGGAGCTAGACAGCACTTTTGTTTCATATTCATGATGAAGAAAGTTGGACAGAATGGCAAGTTACATAAGGTTCTGACTTTTCTTTTGTGCCAGATAATGCTCAGATGGAGGATTATCCTGGAAATTATCTATTTCCTTGCATGCTAAAAAAATCTGAGATTTCCTAAATTACACTGTAAAGTGCACTGAGTCAAGACTGGTTAGAAACTACATTTGAAGTACCCAGGAGGAAAAGTGTGGTCTAACAGTTATTCTTGTTTTATGATGGAGAATGTGTTTTTCAGCCTTTACAAAGGTCAGATAAAATATGTATAGAGTACATTTAGATAGCACAAAATGTGAGTGCAGAACTGTATCTGTCCCAAGGTACTAATACTTTTCTGCAAATATTAAATTGCTTCGAATCCACATGAGGTTCTGAAGTGCTAATACTTGTGTGGGGAATATTCCCCAGCCTAATACATTTATTTAAAATGCATATATTCATCCAACTGACTAGTGTACATTTAAACACAGGAGTTAAGAGTGAAATAGCATCTTTGCCGGAATTAGAACACAATTCAGTGCATGTAAAGAACACGAGGCAGTATATAGTAAATTACACAGCTAAAAATTACTCCTTTGAATTCAAATGACAATATTTTCAGTATTATATCAAATTGTGTAAATACTCCGCAGAATTGCCTTCTCCTGCCCTGATTCTCTAGTCAGAATGAATCTGACTGATTCTTTTTGTTTGGTTGGATTTCATGTTTAGGGGAAATGGACCGCTGTTATCAGGTGGCCATTTCCTCAAGCCCTCAGCTACAGCAGCTTACAGGGGACAGTGACTGCCAGGTCAGAAGATCATGGATTTGGGGGCTGTCGTTTGCATTTCAGCGAGGAAAGGAGAGCAGTACAGCATTTTGCTGCCTGTACAGCCACTGATGCTGCACACCTGCAAAGCCCAGGGAGCTGCAGTCTATCACCCACCCACCTTGCGCAGCCCAAAGGCTCTGTGCCTTTGTCCAGCACCTCCGCTCTGCCCCGCTTCCACCTCCAGCGGAGAAAGGGCACGCCTCGCTCTCTAGCTCTCCAGATTAAATCATCTCAAGCCTTTTGTGCCTAATCAAACTAAAATAGCACTCTAGTGACGGCACAGGGTCATTTGTTAAATGAGACTAGCTAGAAGAGACGGTTCATTCAATTTTTAAGCTTTCCCTTCCGAAGCGGCGCAGCGGTGCTGAGGCCTGCTGTGCCCGCCGCCGGCAGGAGCCACACTGCGCTCTGCCGGCCCTGCCGCTGCACTCCTCCTCCTCTGCCATCGCACGCACCGCCTCGGCCCTGGCTGGCAAACAGCAGGGGGACAGGGCCCTAAGGTGAGAAAAAATGCTGTCAAACCTTCAGCCCTATGTATATGAATCCGTGTGGCCACACCACACTGACAGTCCCCTGGAATGCCGAACGTCCTTCCCTGCTCCTACCGTCCTCACCCTCCCGCTTGCTGAGGGGTGGGAGTAAGGAATGCCCCCAGGGACGAGCATCCTTCTGACCCCTCTACACACCAGCCAGCGTAGCTGGGAATATAACATTGCCAATCGCAGCTGAATAAAACCAAGTGATCCGCTTAATAAATCTTCAGAATAAACAAAGAAAAAAGCCCAACTCTTGCTAAACAAGTATTAGCAACCAAGAAGTTAAAAATGTTACGACTGTTAAGTACTGAGATAATTACTAAGATAGAAAATATTTTTCAGCTTTTTCATAAAGCAACAGCCTCATCTTGACTACCACTGATACAGAAATCTTTTCTTGCACTATGTGCCTATGCATAGTTAAATTGTGTGAGATAAAAAATACATTTTAAACAAAGCCACACATTCTCAGATATGTATGATTCATTTGAACTACCAAGAGCTTTCCCTCCAATGATTCCTCATAGTCTCCTCCTAATAACCTATGAATGTGAGTTAAAAGATGGGATGAACCACCAGTGCATATCACTTCTGCAATCATTATGAGATCTGCAAAGAACAGAATTAAACTCCAAACTCTTTTTCTTTACTGCTCAAGGGAGATCTTGAGCTCAAACTCCCATTTGAAGAAGTTTAAAAGGAGCAAAAAAGAGGCACTATATAATCACAATAGCACTGAATGCACACAGAAAATGTGGCAATTGAGAACATTGCATCATAAAAAATATGAGACAGAGAAATTAAAATTATCTGGCTACTGTATAGGCTTATGGGTGCTGGAGAACAGCAAACAGTGAGGGATGAAATTGTGTCCAGTTACTACTTTAAGAGAACAAGGTGACAGTAAGGTTTTGGTGCCTCAAGAATGTTTCCACTGGGATCAGGGAATATTCACAGGAATAAATATCACACTTGCATCAGAAGGAAAAAGTTCACTCCCTGGGCTTCGCTGAAGAGCTAGAAAAGTAGCCAAGAAATTCCAAGGCCGTTCTGAGCAGCTGTGGGTAAGATTACATTCAGCTCAGCACTTTAGTATGAACAGCTGAGGAGAGCACAGAAGTGGATAGGAAGAAACTCCTGATGGCTCCACCTCCCAGAAAAACAAATTACTCATAGAATACAAAATGCAAGTGCACAAAGATATTAGTGGAAGATACAGAATTAATTGATATGTTTGTTAGAAGCATTAATAATAACATATATTTTAACCATTATCTACACATCTATTTCTTTTAATACAAGATACAATTAATTATGTGCTAACAAAATGGTCTTCCACTTCCTGCATGTCCATTTTTTGTGTTTTTAGTACAGAAGATACAGCTGATGATCAAGTTCTGAAATAAAATGGATTAGTAATAAAGAAAAAAATTAAGTTATAAAATTTAATTTAATAAACTCTATAAATCATAACCACCTCCCAGTATTATTTTAAGTGTAGAAGGGAAATTTGTGGAGCACAGCAAGGAATCTTTAGGTGGCAAAAAGACCACACTGCCAGACAGAATGAAAGAGAAATGCAGCAAGAGTCTCTGAAGATGGCAGCTTGGCCGAATGTGAGGGAGTCTGCATGAGTACATACAGGTCTGTGACTAGCAGACAGTGGGTCGGGACACCTGAGTGGGTGCCAATAAATGGCTCTGTGGTATGTCTGAACTTGGCTGAAATACAGCTGGGTCTGAACACTCCCAAAGCTGGTTGTGACTACGTGACTGATAACCAGCAGAGAAAAGAGAGAAAAATCACCAAGGGGATGGAAGCCATTATTACCCTTCAGCCTGATGGTTACAGGTGCTCAGAATGCAGCATCAGCACTGATTCTCATTTCTTCTAAAAGCTATTTACTCCCAAAATATCACAAGGGGACCTATATACTACATAACTGGCATCTGGACTCACCAAGCAGTTCCTCAGGAGTGCTAACCAAGGGAAATACAGTCACAGTCACTCACCATCAGGAAGGGACCAATGTTTCATCTCCTGACTGACACTCACACATATCCAGACAAAGGAGAGGGTTTTCTATTTCTCTGCTAAAAGGGAGAGGAGTGCAAAAGGACAAGCTGTTTTTGTATTTTAACCTCCTGTTATTGTCTTCAAAAGTAATCTTGGTAGGAAGAAACAGTGGTAAGAACAGATTCCGTGGGTACAGAGAGCAATTAGCAAGCACACCCTGGGGGTAGAAGACTGAGTGCCTTTGAAGCATCTTAGGAAGCAGCAACCTGGTGATTCTTGCTGCCAGGTTCTGTACAGGGATGTGTTTCTGCCATCCTGAGCTATGAAAAGGTTGACAGCTGGGCTGGACTTGGCTGCAGGATGACAAAGGCAAGCAGTCTTTCCCAAAGGCAGAAGGAATGATGCACTTATTTTCTGTACTAATGCCACAAGGCTGTGCTCAGAGCTGCTTCCACTGCTGACAGATGGAGACAGAGTAGAAGATTAAATGTTTGGCCAGCCAAGTGTTAGCCACAAATATTCCAGCTGTTTCAGCACAGCTGATGCTCATGTTCTGGAGAAATTAAAAGAAGGGGTTTCTGTCTCTGCTCTAGATATTAATTTTCTAGTTAAATATTGCAGTAATTTCTTCATTTTTATAGGGTTTTTATATTTTTTTAAAAAGCATACACCAAGTCATATGTAACATTTCAACTGTTTTGGAAAGCATGGGATTAGTTTATGGGAAGCTGTTATACCCAAGCATGTTCTATATCACAAAGTTAACATTTTGAAAAAAAAAACTAATTAAATTAGAACCTTTAGAAAAATTAATTTACACTTACTTATTTTCTGGAAGAAAAAAAGAAAAAAAAAAAGATAAAAAGTAAGCAGGACCTAGCATATAGTAAAACAAATGCAGCTGTGTATCCCTGGCCTGCCCAGCTATAATTTTGTTTACTTAAAAGTGTTTCATCATGACAGGAACATATAATTTTCCACTTCAAATGCTGAGAAGATATAATTCTAATAAAATATGATCTACCATTTTTCAGCTACTTGCCTCTTCTTTTTATATCTCATAGATTGCTGAGGTTAATGAATATAAATACCTAATTTATCATTTCATTTTCATAATATAATATTCAGGTATTCAGTGAACCTTCTCCAGTCTAAAAGTGAGTACCATCAGAAAAGTGTGCTGAATTGAATAATTCTCTTTCAGCCTTTGTGTGAATTTTAAATTTTATTTGATATAAAATACTTTGCATAGAGTATAAAAAAAAAACCACTTTATTCCCCAGAAAGATTTACCTGTTTATATGTAACACATGTACTCCATATTTGCTTTCAATTCTGTACTTTGTTGGATCACTTGCAGGAGAAATCAATTCCTCATTTTTGTACCTGACAATCAAGAAAAAAATAAAACTCAAATATCAGCAGCTATTAATTTGTCTGGTAGATCTTTGGATCAAGATATCATTTACTAGCATCTGAACTCTTTCTACTTGCACAGAGTATTTTATAGTGTGTATGGATAGATACATATTGGTCCATGAAGGTAAAGCAGGACCATCACAGCAGCAAGGAAGTGGAAAGAGAAGATGCACACTCAATCTAGAAGACGAGGAAAAGAAGTAAAGAGAAGATGGCCTGGGGCTTGAAATTTCTAATCCACTAACCCTGACACAAGATGGGAAGAAAACTTTATCTTGCGCCATACTAAAATGCTTCAGCACAAAAGGGGAGCAGCAACTGAATTATGCCTCATGTTAGGTCTTTACAATCCAGCCTGAAGCTTTCATATATGCAGGACAGCACCTGTCCAGAGAGGAGGGCAGCTGAAAGGACCTTTATGTCCTCCTCAATGGCCACAGATACAGCCCATGACAACAGTGGTGCTGTGCACATTTATCCAGGCTTAGAAAGTAGCCTGTGAGTTCTGTGCATTTTGCCACGCACTACTTTGTGTTCAGGAGACTCAGTGGCCAGAAAGACTGGAATGCCTTCCACTGTCTGCCTTCTGAAATGCTCGAGTTTGTTTCTCACATTGCATGAGGCCACTCAGCAAGTTTTCCTCCCACTCCTTCCACTGTAGTATCAACTGCTATGATCCAGCACATCTAGGAGGATTATAAAGGGGATTTAACAAAGCCATTATATACATGACACTTATCAGTTATGGCATAACATTCAAATGAAAAAAGCTTAACAACATTTTTAGAGGGCTAGGAAAGGCCAGTCTCTTACCATTGTACAACAGGCGTTGGAAATCCTTGTACAGTAAAGCAAAGGCTCACAGACATCTTTTCCCAGACAGTGTGAGACCTCAGGCGCACTAGAATTTCAGGGGCTCGACTTATTCTTTCTTCAATTATATGTCTTTCCAGAGCCATATTTTCTTCTACCTATTAAACATGGGAAAAGAAAAGAAGCATCTGGCACCAGAATCAAATAGGAAAGGAGACCTAACCTTAAATTCACAAAAAAATGCTTAATCACTACTAATATTTGAAGCACAGGCCTAAATTTCAGTACATCTTGTAATTATTTTTGCATAGGAGCAAAAAGATTCAGCAGGTACCATTCTTTGCACAGCAAGTCTATCCAGATGTTCTCGAGCACGGTGCCTGGCTGTGTGAATCTCTTTTTCCAAAGCAGATAACTCACTGGCAAAACGGATTCTTTTCTCATCACTTGCATGAGACTTTTGCTCATGACTCCTGTGGGACAAGAAAAAAAAAAATCAGATAACCATTGTCAAGCTTTAAGTTTGCCACTCATATACATCAGGCAACCAAGGGCTCTGAAACCATATCAGTAAGATGTAAAATTTAGGTTAGGAATCATTTTTAGCATCTATCTTCATACCCTGAGTATGTGAAATCATGCAAATTTTCTTCATATTCTTTCCCCCTGTATTTGTGGGGCCATATCTCTAAGTCTTGAATTCTGCCATGGTCACATTGACATGGTTCCCCACAATCCTCTGGTAATGAAGATCAAGAACCTGCCTAGCCTCCTTCTGGCCCCTGATTTTCCTTCCCATAGACACAAGAAGTCAGAGGAGTGAAGGCAAGTTCTATGGCTGTTCACAGCAAAAGTTGTGCCTAGCTTACATAGTATCCTTAGCTTTAGAAGCTTTAGAACCTGGGAGCTCTTGTAGCTCCATGGGCTGTTTCACCTGACCTCACCTGAAAGATACAGACCAAGGAGTTCACAAGGATTTGATGAACAGTTGCATGCAAAAAAAGCTGTCCCTTGACAAGGATGAGCAGGAAGTATTATAGACACTACCAGGAAAAATACAAAGTTTTGAAAAAAATTGTGTTGTTCTCTGAAAACCTAACTCCACAGATTTTTCAGAATTCCTTAAAAACACCCCAATTTGTAAACGCTTTTAGGGGGAACTAGCTCAGTTTCCTTCATTCATGATGATTCAGTAAACAGCCTATGCTACTTTTTTCCTTCCCAGGACAAAAAAAGGTACTGAATATCAGATATTTCTAACATATCTGTCAATATAGTCAACATATGGCAAGACTCTGAAAGCATAACCCAAATAAGAAAACTTCCATGAAATTCAGTGAATCAAGATATTATTTTTCTGATACTTAAAAAAAAATTATTTGTACCTTCCATTTCAATGTACTTTAAATACCAGCCACGTCTTGTCATTTTTTTATATTGGTGAATTTTAAAACAGTTTTTAAAACCTAAATTAAAGTATACAAAATCATTTGGTTTTCCTAGAGATTTCTGTTCTAAGGTTATATATTTCAAACCAATCCAAGTACCAGAACCATATGGATGTGTATAATTTGCACAACATATTTTCTACAAACAAGGCAGAATTTCTTCTTCTAATAGAAATCCTCCATGTCTTTGGTGCAGTAACTGTAGAGCAAAGCAGAGCAGAAACAGTGAAATTCACTAAGGGGGATATTGTCATCAACATGGTTACTCTGGTACTCTTATCAAGACATTAGCTGAGACACGATGGTAAACTCTTTTGATATTCAGGAAAGAATTTAAAACATTTAAATTGATCCAGATTAGAAATTTAGGAATAGTGGAATAGCTCTGTTCAAAATGAGTTCTGGATAACCAGATGGATTCTAATTTATTTTTGGTTTAAAGCTGTTTTCAAGGGTCAGAGTGGGGACCAGGGGAACAACTCTGGGTTGAAATATGAGACTGAAAGTGACACTCAGTCTTTTAGTGTTCCAGCCAAAATAGATTAGTGAAGAACAGTGACAGGGAAGCCTCCAGTCTTGTCAACTCAGAAAAGAGCCTTGGCAAAAGAGTCGGGACCAGAGCCACTACAAAGGTCAGAGTGGACCAACAGAGCTTTACCTTTTCCTGGATTCCTGCATTGCTTCATATGCCAAGCTGCGTGCCCTCCTGGCACAGAGTCTACATGTGGTTTTGCCCAAGCCAGTCGATTCATAATAAGCAGCCTTCCTGGAAGCAGCCCTTCAAATATAAAAGAGATTGTTATAACCCAGCAATTCAGGTAAAACATGAACTCACAAACGTCAAAGAAATTACTTTGAGCTGAATGAGCTGAACACCATGACTGAGCGCTGTTCAGTGAGAAACCTTTGCATCTTCAATGACTGCACTAAGTGCTGATTGTCACTTGCCCTTCAAGGGCTTTATGCCCATCATCTGTCACTGAGGTCATTAGGCGTTTTTATTTCATTCTATTAAATTTATATTTATTTCAGTCTTCAATCATTCAGGTGTGATGATAGCATTTCAGTGAACCTCAAGGATACCAGACTGTCTAATACACAACTCATAATACATAGCATTGTTTTGAAGTATTCCTGCTTTTCTGTATTTCACAGATCTTTCTGCAACTGTCCTCTTTCATAAGGGAAACTGGACCATCTAGACAGCTAGGCAGGCATGTTAATTACCAAGTAGGGAGAATGGTGATTCTAAAGCAACCACAATACAATGTTTCAGGCTTTGAGATACAAAGAATGTGTATTTTCCGGTTAAAACACTGAGATTTCAAATGAGGAGCATTAAGCTTTCATTTAAGTTTAAAAAGGAAATGGAATCACAAAAACTATAATTAGTTATAGCCAACTTCAGGAAAAGGAATATCATCATGTCATACAGAAAAGATGTTTCTATGACTTACAATAAATTTCACGTCAATTTTTCTTATGTCAGAGTTTAAATTTTAGCCTACAAGGAAGAATTTTCAATTTAGAGGTATCAAACAGGACAGATCCTAAGCTAAAAGGTCTGTGTAGGTATCTTGCAATGTTGCTAGGAAGTTTATGCTGGTGGGAGACTACAAACAAGGAGCATGCCAATGGAAGGAAGTGGAAAATTATCATTCTGTATAAATCACATTTTTTTGGGGTGGAGGGGAAAGGTAAGTATCTTGATTCTAAGAACTGACTACCCAAAACAGAGACCTACTTATGCTCAAATACACAGCACTTACTTTCTTGCTGCATATTCCTCAAGTACATATCTTGTCTGAATGTTGCGATAGGACTGATCAAAGTGCTTGTGCCTCTTCTGGTAAAATGGCACTGCTATTGAAGACATTCTTCCTCTGTGACAACCAGTAATTCCTGCAGAGAGTGAAGTTAGCCATATATTTAGCCATGCACACATTTAGCCATATATTTCAGGCTCTTTGATTTGATATTTTCTGATATGTAGACATGTGTGTGAATATGTCCAAATGTATAAAATTGCACCAATTTGTGACAAATAGAGACATCAGTCACAGACATGGGTACCTCAGGCTGTATTTTATCAGTTGTGCAGCATGAGCTACAGAATCATAGATAAGAGTGTAAAAGATATTTCACTGGATAATTTTTCTCCTTCTTTGCAGATGTCATTTAACGCCTCCAGAGAAATTTCCAGGGATAGAAATTTGACAGGTTTTTGGCCATTGTTAGACATTTCAGCTCTCTGCTCTTCAAACCTTTCACTTTTTCCACTTTGGCAATTTATGCTCACTATGTTTTGTTCAATTCACCATGACAACAAATAGACAGTATTAGCTCTCTTTTGTAGCAGCCTGTTGAAGATTTTCTTTACTTTTCTTTCCTTCTCTCTTGTTTAAACTCTACAAAACTTGCTCATGCAATCTTCCCTCGTGTGTTATTTTTTCTGGCCTATAAGTCATTCTGGTTTCCTTCTTGTAGACTTTCTCAAAAGTATGGTATAGTTTTTGATCAATATTTGGATATTTGATTCAACTTTCCTAGAAGCAATGTAGAGAACAAGAGCACATTTCCCATTGAGGTAGAGTTAAGCAGATTACCAACCATATTATTAAAAGAACATGGAGATGCCTACATCCCTTTATGCTCATTAGAAATATGATGACAACTTCTTGCAAAAGTGGGGAATATCACGAGCCTTGTTGTGAGTAGGTGCCAGCTCGTGTAACTGCAGTCTTGGTAGGGTACGGAGTTCTCTACTCCTGGGCCATTAGTCCCAAGCACTGGTGAGGGATCCCAACTGAACAGCCAAAACCTCCCCCAAAAGGCACCTACACTTCAGTGACAACAGAAGCAAGCTTCCAGTATGTCTATAAAGCAGATGAAGATTTATTCAGGTTAATTATTGCAGTAACATCCAATACCCTACTAAAAGCTGAGGGGGGTGTCCCTGTTGTTATCCTCCCTGTGGGGTGCAGGCTGCCAGCTCCATGCCAGCACCCAGGGCTGAGGTGAAACAACACCAGCTCACCCAGGGGACACATGCAGAGGATGTCAGGGTCCTGAGGACAGCAGTGGACCTGACTGCCCCAGCCCAGCCTCCTCCAGAGCCCCTCGTACCCTGCCCACAGCCCAGGACTCTATGTCAGTCCCCAGGGGGATCAGTTTCTGCCCTAGAAATGACAGAGCAGAACCAATCTCCAGCTCCCCACAGCCTGGCCCTGCCTGGATGTAGACCATGCAAGATGAACCTTCCTCAGACCCACACCAAAAGTCGTAATTTGTAACAAAAAGTCACATAAATAAGCAGCTTCATGATGTATATCAAATGAAAGCTCAAAGGGATTTGAAAAGAAATCTTAAAATAATTTAGATAAAACATTTAACAAGTTAAAATCATCATTTTAATATATACCATAATTTATATATACCATTTTAATATATACTATATTTCCAGCATATAGTATTTGTCAAAAAAAAGTTAAAAGGTATTCATTAGTTAAGTAGAGTAAAAAACTGTAACTGTGTCTGATTGTTACTTGCAGATAGTCAAAGGCAGAGTCAGATGCTCCCAAATTATGATGTTCTCATATCAGCTACTTTTACTTTTCCAAGAAAAAGTAAGGAGGAAACAGTAGGTATATCTAATAGAACTCACATCTTATTTTAAAATGTTCAGAGATCTAAAGAGATTTTTGCAATTTATCACCTCAGATCTGCAGCTTCTGTATAACTTAGAGTTACCTTTTCAGGTCTTTTTCAAGATATGAGAATGACAAGTCACAGGTCCAGTAATGAGAGCTTTAGGCAAAGCACAAGACACTGCAAAACAAAAATAAATCAGGTTTACAACAATACCGTGGGGCATTAAAGAAATACATTGCCACATTTATAGATAAATAAGAAACTTAGCATGACACAAGTTAGTTCAGCACCTCTCAGAGATGCTGGGTCAGTAAGATGAACTCATACAATGCTAAGCTGACATGACCCTTCACCTATTAACCCATCATATGACACAATGTCTTGGTTACATGAGCAGAGTTGCACAGACCCACAAGCAGCCTTGGCTTCTCCTAGTTTTGATATCTGTACATCATGTGACTCTACATCTGCAGACATTGAACACTGGTTTTCTTCCTTCTGCCTAACTGTGACTATTGTGTATATGACACTGGATTCCACTTTAGTTCATATGTTAACTGGGCAATTAATGGTATCATTTTCCTTTTCTTCTATTTTTAATTAGCCTTTTTGCCTAAATGAATGTGCAAAAGACAAACTCCGATTAACTCCACTGTAAAGCACTACTCATGTTCACATGTGACCAAGTTAAATAGTTCTGTGAATTTATCAACATGAAATGTAAATGTTGCTACATATATAATTCACACTGATATTCACTTTATAAGGATTGCAGAGTGCAATAATGCCCATTTATCTGGATAAATCAGTCTAAGTTATTTTCATTTTTGAGAGAGGAGAAAACACTACTGTCATTTACAGTCCAGTCTTTTCCAGCCTTTTTAAAATGTAAAACTTACATTTTAATTAGTGTATTTACTTCTATATTTCAGCACCCAGGACTCCTCAGATTTTGGTTCATATATTTTTCACATTTACCCAAACAACTTTAGTATAGAAACAAGGGTAGCCAGCTACTCACATCCTTCATACAAGCAATTTACAGAGCTTTTTAGCAGACAGACTCACTTTGCCTTCTGTTAACACAGAGGGGAGCTACCTGGCAACAATTCCAAATGTGATAATAATCATCAGTTAATTACAGCAACATTTGCGGAGTATGTATTTAATACTTAATAGTGCTGCGAAGATAAGTATCAGAAAAGCAAAATCAAAGTCCCACTGTCAAAACAGCATATAGGGTATAAAGCTCCTGATAAAAGAAGTTTATACTGTATTCCTAGGAACAAAACATTGACTGTTTTACCAGTTTTCCACTGATACACATTTATATGAGATTTTTGAAATATATTCTAATATTTAGACAACTACCACTAAGACAGAGAACATGATATGCTGATGACAGCTTAACCCCAGTGAATTTATTGATTTAGATGAACCAAAATTTTATTAAGGACAGTGTCTGGAGACCTAGTTATATTGGCAAGTGAATTGGTAGAACTGACTCACTAAAAGTGAGATGAAGGAAAGGGTCTGGCAGAGAAACTGGGGGGGAAAAAATCCCAGTGAAAAATTGTGAGCTCAATAACAACAACAACAACAACAAAAAAGTATCAGTCTAGAGAAAGACAAATTAATTATCTGAATGATTATAACAAAAAGAAAATCTCAAGTCTTATTTACCAAGTTCTACTGCAAGTATTTTGGAGGCATTGCTGAAATATATGGCCTATGTGTCAGAAACAATCCTTGAGTTACATCCATGCGCATCCTATTAACGACCCTGGATTTCAAGAAAAAGACCTAGAATTACAGGAAAAAGATGATCCTAAAACATTTGGTGTCTCATCTGACCTTTACCTTGTTAGTACAATGTAGCATCATTGTACTCCTTTCTTTTTATTATTATTATTATTTCTATTTGTTTCTATGACTGTAAATGCTGGGGGCATCAAAAGGACCTTAAGTGCACTAATCAATGTGTAGCATAAATGACTCAGAAGATTACTAAACACAAAGAAAAATATTACCTCAGTCAAAAGGTCCTTAAGGATTAATGACATCAACCACAGGTGAATTAGACCGTTCAAGTCAGTTTACATAAACATACACTTTTTCATGCTTTGTAGCATGTATATAAAAATTTTTACTTGACCGTGAGTAAAAGGCTGAGCTCCCTGGTCAAGATATGTATGCATAGTTTTGTGACACAGTAATACTGATCTAAATAGAAAGCCATAATCTAGGACCACGTGACAAGGGGCCACATTCTTGAGCAGAGAAGCCAAGGGTCTGATATAAACAATGTTAGTGTGATAAGTGAGTTAATTTAAGATTTAAAGGACAAGCAGTAAATTGTAGCATGATCATTTACATTGCCTCAGAGAGCAGGCACACAACCTGCTAAATTGATGGATGGCTTGACAAATGCCATGGTAAGAAGAACATGGCTTCACTCACCATAGATGGACAAGGTGCATTCCCAGGTTCAGAAGGCTCATGTCACAAGCAATGTACTGTACAGTATGTATTTTCTCAGCCTGACCTGCCAGTGCTATACCATGCAACGTGCACTTCTGTGCTCAACTCTGCTCCTGGCCATCTGCAGAAGTGCCAAAAATTATTCACGAGTTCTTGCCTGTCCTCATGTAATCAGAAATTTCTTTGACCATTTGAACTGATTTGAGGGCTTGTCCTTTCTTTCTCATGAAAGACATTTTTTATTTACCTGTCTCTTGTTCTCCAAGATGTTCTCCACATTCTTCAAAGTTTAATGTTTTCAGGAAGCTGCCAGCTTATACTTCTATGGTGCATAAAAGCCCTTGATATTTAACTGATAAAATATATTTAAATCCATATCACCTATGTACCATAATAAAAGATAGAAAAAAACCCCACCTTCTATTAATTGCTCCTAATGACCAGTATAAAAATTACCATATTGCCTCAAAAAATACACGATCCTTTCCAATGTAGATATTGTAGACTTAATAGCATATTATAATTTTCTCCCATGAACTGACTTTGGTGGCAATCTTGTAAAACCATCATGAGTCATTATGCAGCTCTAGACAGTGCAGTCTAAACAGAATGGTATGTAGAGGATCTGGTTAATTCATCTCCATTTTGATAAAAAACTAATTTGATAAAAAACTGATTTGACAAAATTTCTAATATGTCTCTCCAGTCTTTTTTCTCTGTACACATGTGTATATTTAGATTTTCCACAGAAAATTATGTTTTGTGAATGAAAAATACCTACTCAAATATACTGTAATTTTAAGATGTTTCAAGCTTTCCACTGAAGATCTTGTTCAGTCTACATAAGAATTCAGTTTTAGCTTTTTTGACAATAGAACAAAAATAATCATAATTTTAAAAAACATATGGAATTCTTCCTTGATTACTCTGATGAATTCCAGACATCATTCAATGAATTTGAACACTTTTTGTGTTTTTCTTTTTGATTTCTTTAGCTACATCATATTTGCTCTTATGTTTTACTGATCTCACCTCTCTTTCATGGAAATAGTATTTTCTTCATTTCACCAACTGGTTTTAAATATATTCAAATAATCCCCCAAAATGCATGTGTTACTTTTGTTATTAAACATAATACCAAAAAAAAAAAAAAAAAAGAGTTCCCTCCTCTATTTGTACTCATCTGAATACCCAACAAAGCAACATTTTCAAGCAGCTGACAGTACCAACCATCACAGATCTGTCTATCATTTTTACTAATTTCATGTTTTGAATGAGTAGATTTTCACATTTCCCAACATCAAATGATACTGTTTTCAATGACATACAGGTAGATTCAGCAGTTTAATGCAATTATTTAGCTATAGCACATCTATGATTAGGCAGATTGAATACCTTGACTTTGTAATAGTCTCTGAAAGGCTGGATTCAAGTTCTGTCCAGAACAGTTAGTGTGGAGGTAATTTGAAATATATAATGGGTGGTCACAGTCATATCCACAACCCTTGATATAGACCTTTGCTCTGTGGAGGTGAGCTGCAGGCAGAGTCATGGGTATCCTTCCCTCCAGAAAGGTAATTGTTGTGAAGGGAAGCACCAGATCCTATATTTTAATGGGTCTATAAAATAATATAATTTTACATTTTCTGTGACTCTCATGAAGGAAAGGAGTGGAAGCTTCCAAACTGAATTTCTTTCCATATCTCTAACAGAAACTGCACAATATATATCCCAGATAGGGTACTAATGTGGATGTTACCTTGTTAATTCATGATCATGCAAGACTGGGAATTAAATTAGGCTAAATTTGCCCACATTGACTTGGATCCTTGCCACCCTAACATTCCCAATGCACAGAGTTCAAACATATTCTGATAAAGTTTGAAGACTGCACTTGGCAAGTGTATTATATCCTTTCAACTGGACAGCTAAAATGTTGGACAGTGAGATGATAAAAAACGTATCCCAATATTCATTATCTTTCATTATGGTACTTTTATTGGCTCATAGGCATTATCAACACACAGGCATGATTTCAAGAGCATGAACTTGATTTCCTAAGACTCTATCAGTGCTATTTAGCTGGAATTTTCATGTTGCCCAGAACATATCACATAGTTTAGAGCAATACAGAACCAGAAACACATCTTCTGGAAACATGCACATGAAAGCATTGCAGACACAAAATAAAAGTAGATTTTTTTTTTTTTTTGCCTACCTACATCCCATTCTTCAGTAGGCCAAATAGTTTTGCCAGCTATTACAGGATTTTATGCTTAATTATTTACACACAGACTTCAGAAAAAAATCATACAGTATAAGCACACAAGAAAGTAGCATTGCCAGTATTTGTGCAATTGGAAAAACATATATATGAGTAGAGTTACCAATTTCTGCAATGTAGTTTTTTATATGCAGAAAGAAACAGAGGGAATGTAATACACAATAAAATCAAGGTGACTATTGACAGAAAAAAACAATCTTTATTTTTTTTTGTTTTGCTTTTCATGAATCAATTTGTGTCCTACTTATCACTTTTTTTTTTCCTGAGGAAAGTAATTTTTTTTTACAGGAAAGCACCCAGCCTCCTCCTACAAGCACTCTCATTTGTTCTGGGCAAGAAAAACATGGATAGAAAATTGACTTACCTAGGGATATAGAAAAACTGTAAAGCAGAGAGGAAGACCAGCCTTTCCCAGCTTAGCAAACACTGCCCAAGGAAAACAAATAATTCTCCTCTATAAAGGCTACTGCCCCTTCACTCCTATTTAAGGGCAGATGCAGTGCTATATTTAGAACTAACCAAGTGATTCTCCCAAAACTGGGGTCAGCCTAATATGTAATAAGGGAGTGATATAGAGGAAAAAGAAAAGCCCTAGCCTATATGGAGTTTAATACTGAATTTTAATAAAAGACAAACCTCATTCCTTTAAAAAGCGATTGCTTATGTTAAAAATTGGGTTTCTTTCCCTAGCAACACCAAGCACATGGGAAGCAATTGGATGCCAGAAAATAGTTTAAATTTTATTTAGAAAAGTTTGAAGTTTTAAAATAATCAGTAACTTGAAGACTAGTGAGGACAAAAATGTTCGAGAATATTATTAGTAGAAACATGAGATCCCTTGGTGCTTTGGGCTGTAAAATGAGCCTCCCTATTGCTTCCTTAAGAGCTCTCTGGATGTGAGAATGTCTGCAACATATGAAGGCATATCAGTTGTAAAAAACCCCTATTATTCCCATATCTATTACATCACAAGTCAATCTGAGCGAGATTTTTCTATGTCTTGTAGGTAAAGTAGGAAGAATTTAATATGCATAGAGGCATAAGCATGCAGAGTTAAAAATACAGCCAAAGCAGTCAGCTCTATGAGACCTTGGTGGTCCCTGATGGTTCCCGATTTTACCAACTAAAATGGATGCTTTCTGCCTGTAGGGCTCCAAGGTTTCTGTCCAGAAGCTACAAGGCACCACTGTGGTGGCTCTGACATGTCCAGATGGGAGGAGGTAGCAGCACTGGCTCTGCAGAGCGGGTAGACTTGGGATCAGCCACTCTGCCCCATTCTGGTGGTAGTCAGGCCCACAGGGATTGCATCCATATGGGGGATGGAAGGGTGGGACCTCTCACAAGGCTTTGTGAAAAGCATGAATAATTAATCACCTTCCTCTTATTCTGTCTGGAAACAGGACAACATGTCTGAGAACACCTGGCTATATGGCAGACCTAATCACACCTCATGACAGCCCACAATGACTCAAATAATCAGTGAGTCAGCAACATACAAACCGTAGAGAATTAATTGATCTTAAAATTGTTTGAAAATAACAAGATCTACTTTCAATTTACTTATACAGAAATCTGGTCATTGTCAAAGTCACTAAATGACAATCTCTTCCACTGCTTGGTATGTGACACTTGGATACATGAACAATATTCTTTTTAAGTCATACATTCTTCTTATGTATACATATAGGGAAGCAGAGCAAGAGGTAGAAAAGCCTTTAAATCACTGATTCTTATCCCATCTGCAGTGTTCATCTAAATTTCCTAAATAGCTCTGGTAAGGATCTTTCTTACTTTTTTATCATCTAGAGCTACTATTTGCTTGAAACAGACTTCTCCCTTTCTCCCATTGATCTTGAATTATAATTCAGTCTGACAGAATTAGATCTACAGAGACAGACAGAGTGGAATGACTGCATATGCCCTGAATGTAGATGTTGCTTCAGAAGCAGCTGTCAAAGTAATTAGCATGTAATAATCCAGAGCAAACCCACTTTACTTACGCAGCTCCATCTCTTCTCTCCTATTGAATTTTCCTGTGGGAGGTAAAAGGTCATTTTTCAGGAAAATATTAAAGTTCTCACTACGCTCTGCTTTTCATTTCTCATTCTATATTTATTATCTTTACAGAAATGGAGGCATTTACAGCCTACTCTGTCTGCCTTTACACTTGAGCACTCTTCTATTTTAAGTTTTCTTCAGGGTGTGGCTGGATGACAAAAATATGGAAGTACATCCTAAGGACTGTGGGAAAAATGCCAAATGCAAGAACAAGCTATGTAGGAGGGTCAGTCCCAGGCTGTGTCCAGGAAAGACAATAAATAAATTCTTCTCTTCATGCACATTACAAAATAAAATAGAAGGGAAAACTGCAATATTGTGTTACTCACTGGTGGTGAACTTTAGGCAGCAGAGCACAAAAAATTATTCAGCATTTTAACTATGAAATAATTTACATTATATATTCCTACTTCCCCCCTAATACAGAAGGTGCCTTCTCCTGATCCTTCCACTTCCCAAACAGATCTTCCCTAAGAACTTTTCTAAAGCAGAGATTTAACAGGGTATCAAAAGGATTACTCAAGCATTGTAAACTTAGCATGTGCTAAAATCCTTCTGTGAATTTGGTATTTTAGAATTATTTCTTTATCTTCTGACAGTCTCTTGATGTAGGTTGCTTAACTGATACAGGCCTACGTAATGTCTCAACTACTCCAGCAAAGGGAAGGACAAAGAACTGAAATGGAGCTCAGGAAAAAGAGGTGTTATCATTTTAGCCATTGGATTAAACATCAAAACAGTAATGAAATGAAATGTAACAGTGTTAAAAGAGGTATGTTTTCAGCCTATAAGGGTGTCTTAATAGTGGCCTTGTGCTTTTATCTTTCTCCGGTTCCAGGAAAGCCTAATGCATCTTTGTATGACAGCTTCTGAAGCCCAGCTTTGTTAATATGTTAGCTACTGATTTCTTCAAATGCTTGTTGCATATTCATAGCTTCATATAAATTAAAAGCTTAGTAACTAGCAATGAGGTTCCTCATCTCTGCAGCAGATCTATTATTCACTCAGCCCTATGGTGAGGTTTCTAAAGCCATGCTAGAACAATGGATACTGTGCGCTGGTGATCTTAGAGCAGTCTCTCTTCACAGTTACCCAAGTCCCAGCATCTCCCTTGGTATTACAAATGAAAGACAAAACAGTGCATGCAAATTCAAGCCCATAAAAATTAAATCATGTTCTTTCCTCTGTTGGTGCCTTTGGTCAGAAAGTCAGGATTATCAGTTATGGCCTCCACATATGAACCCAATCAAATGTGTCTCATTCAGAGAAGAATACCACCGCCTGAAAGACTGAACTCTGAACAGTTTTGGAGGAACTGTACTTGCTCATGAAGATGGGGTAGCAAGAGAGCAGTAACAGATGCACTTACTGCTGATAGCACTGTAAATGTGCAGTAAAGCACAAATTCCCAAGGGAAATACACCTTACTGCTTCCTTCAAGTGGGGAGAGAACAAACCCATGCTGACTTCTAAGAAGCCTAAGCACTTATCTCTCTACCGCCTCTTTTCTTTTCTGCTTTTTTTTTTGTTTTGTTTTTCTTGGTGCATTTTCTCTTATTCTACTAGAACTTCCTGATTTTCAATGCCCAACTTGCAAGTATTTTAAGGCTGGCTTCATGCAGCTGAAAATTGTCAAAATCTTAAACTACCCTTCCCAGACTATGCTGTGTGGAGATGAGACCAGAGAAGAGTCAAGTAATTTGGAGGAGGAGGAAAATACACTTCCAACTAAGAGAAGGGTGTACAACTCCCAGGAGAGAGGACAATGGTAGCTGAAGGAAAACAAAACAACAACAAAACCCCTGCATTAGATGCAAGATGTTTTAAACAGCCAGAAAAGGATTTTCAATCAGCAATTAATCTGAGCTAAACTGAACTGAACCCAGAACATCAAACAATTTTAGCATAAGTCTTTGAACAAACACTAAAATACCTGAGCATACAAAGTGTTGGGAATTTTTCCCTGCAACATAAGGCAAAATGGATCTCTTAGTAAGTATCTCATTTATATCTAAGACAAACAGAGCATAGAGCTACAATTCACTGAGTTACAGCAAATCAATTATTTTTTAAGATACCTAAACAGTAATGTGTCCCCCTGCTGTCCAAGAAGCCACTTTAAAGCCCATCAGAGTCAGTGCTAAGGTTTTACTGACTCAGGAAAGCTGAGATTCCTGTCCTTTTTGATTTAATACCAGCTCAGTGGCATCTCTTCATTTACCTTTACAATGACACCTGTACAAAGACAAGGACTATAAAGATGTCTATCTTATCCTGGTATATTTATTCCAGTTTCACACAACAGGCTTGGCAGGTACCTGCTGCTGCAACAGTTACCTTTATCAACTAACCCCAGTATCATCAGCAGCACATTAAATCTAGAGAACCACAGGCTGTTAGAAGGCAGAGACAGGGACTAACACTGCAGTGCAGGGTTTTGCCACACTTGGAAATGAAGGCAAGGCAGCTGCCCTTCAAATTCCACCATTAAGCAGCACCATTCAAAGATGGTTTTAATGTCCTCAAGCTTCAGGAGCTGCCAGCTGTGGGGTTACTTCTCGTAACAGCATTTACATACAGGATTCATATCAGACAAGCACAGACAACTGAGGCACAGAATCAGAGAATGTTTGAGGTTGGAAGGGACCTCTGAAGGTAATCTTGTCCAGCACAGTTCTCCAACAAGGCTAGTTGGAGCTGGTTGTCCAGGACCACATCCAGATTTTGAACATTTCCATAGATGAAGACTTGTGGTGGTTTTGGCTGTGGTAGAATTATTTTTCTTCCCAGTGGCTGATATAGAGCTGTGATTTGGTTTTTTTCTGAACATAGGGTTGATAATAAATGCTTCTGTTATTGCTGAGCAGGGCTTGCACAGAGACAAGGCCTTTTCTGCTTTTCACGCTGTCATGCTGGTGAGGGAGCTGGGGGTGCATGAGAGGCTGGGAGGAGACACAGCCAGGACAGGGGACCCAAATTGACCAGAGGGATATTCCAGACTGTATGACATCATGCTCAGTATATAAAATGGAGGGAAGAAGGGAGAAGGAGGGGACATTTGGAGTGATGATTCTTGTCTTACCAAGTAACTACTGCGTGTGATGGGGGGTCTCAGATTCAGTCAAAGAGAGAAACTGAGAGTTTCTAGCTAGGCAGAAGCCTGGGAAAGAGCTGGAGAAGAATGTAAATAATTCTTTATCTCTCTTTTTTTTCACATTGTTTATAGTTAAGTTCTATCACTGTGCATCAAGCACTTTACACCAATGCTGTGGTTTGTTTCCACTTACGAACCAATGGAGTTGGTCTTCACAGAGCTCTGTATTAAAGAGTGGTGTATTTTGAATAAATCAGAGGTTTATTCTCAGCAGCCTTCTGATCAGAGTCTTCTCATTCCTGTCCTGCCTTGACAGCGACATCGCTGTCCTGGAGATGGCTGAACAACTGCCTGCCCTTGGGAAGAAGTGAATTCCTTGGTTTGCTGTGCTTGTGTTTCCAGCTTTTGCTTTTCCTTCTAAAGCATCTTTAGCTCAACCCAGGAGTATGTTTACCCTTCCAATTCTCTCCCTGACCCTGCTGGTGGGAGTGAGCAAGCAGCTGTGTGGGGTTTGGCTGCTGGCTGGGATTAAATCATGACAAGAATACAAAAACTCTCTGGGCAGCCAAGGCCAGCTCAGGGGTACTTTCACTGTAGGGAAAAAAAAAAAAAAAGTTTTCTAATGTTCTTAACTTCTGTGTTTGAGTTTGTGTCTCTGAATGGAACTGCCTCTGGTTCTGTCTCCTTCTCTTGGGCTGACAGAAGCTGAAGGTCACTGGTGAAGGCACAGACATGACACCCTCCAGGTTCACAAGTACACACACATTTGCTGTCTGGTTGCCTACTCTCTGTCTGAGCCAGTGCTTGCTGAAAACACATGCACACTCTCATGATGGCTGATGTTGCAGGCACCCCACACCCATGAGTGCCCCCAGATAGCTATATGTAGAGTATAAGGGCACCTAAAACCCCCAGTCTGATACCAAAACCTGGCAGCCACTCCCCCCAGTAAGTGGTAGTCAGTCCATGCAGTACTCACACACATGGATGAAGAGCGAGATAGTTAAGAAAGGTTTGAATAAAGCCAGGACAGACTGTGGTGATCAGGCACAGTGCTCATTCATATACGTGTACTTTATATGCAATCAACCCCTTTCATAGCCCTTTCTGGGTGATCCTATCTTTGTTCCTCTGATTTCTTCCCCTAAACCTTTCTTCATCGTTTTATGCAGGTCTACCAATTCTCACACCTTTGGTCCAGCACTCGGGATCTTTGCTTAGCCCATCTCAACATCTCCAGGTAAAATCTTCTCACACTCCATATATCCTCACACAGATAATGTGGAAGTGCTCTGCTCCTGTTTCACACGGGAAAAGGAGAAGGAAAGGAATGCATACAGATCACATGACTGCGCCTGCTTTATGAGTCCAACGTGAGAACTGACATGAAAACTTCAAATGGTATCAAGTTCAGTCATATCCTTCTATTCAAGGTCAATGAACTTTTTATGGCATATCCAACAGTTCATGTCACTGAAAGCACATAGCTATGATGTGATGTCCCATGCCACACAATATACTGCCTGACATATATGATCATTACTGTACTTTAGAATAATGAACTTTTACTGTATTCCTGGAAGCAGATTACAAAAATTATATGTTTTTATTTCAGAACTAAATGACTTATATCCACAATATCTCCAAGGAATGGAGATCTGACAAGATTTCACTGTAAATGAGCAAGAACTATTGCAAATGCAGATCAGGAACAGTTTTCCTAAGGAGCTATATCAGCTGGATCCCTTAACTCCTATTCCTCACTATTGCTGGATGTCTTTGATTCTGTAGTTACTATAAGCAAAAAGAGTGAGTTTACCATAAGACTAATGGTCTCAGGCAGGCCCCAAATTTACACTGTTTTGATAGATTTTCATATTTTTAGTAAGAACCAAGAAAGAAACCACTGTTTAGCAGGAGTGTTAATGAACCATGCTGATTCTTCTCCAACTGCTCAGTAGTTGCTTCTCTAGGTCTTCAAGAGCAATGCCATAGTGCATAAAAAACAAAGCAGGACTTCATTACGTTTTCATACTGAAGAGATCTACTTGATTATTCCATCCCAATCTGCAACTACTGTTTCTGTCCATGGTCCATATAATGGTGCTTCAGGTCAAGCCACCTTTGGAGGTCACCAGTTCTCTCCATTGCTGCTACTGCTCCTGCTGTACAGCTGTGAGTATTCCTAATGGGGAGGTTTTGCTAAACTTTTTGTCCATGCCATTTCACTAATCTTCTCACTCTTGGCCAATCAGTTGTCACTAAATCAGTCATCCACTAGTGTCCTTGACTCATTTGACACAGACTCATTTCATTTCAAAGGGTGCTTTTACCCAAATAAAAACTAGGATTCCCCATGCAAACACTGTTCACATTAAAACAAAACTTAGAAAAGTTATTCTTAATTTGTTCTCTTTTTTTCATCATTCATCCAGACTAGGTCTTGTTACACATAATGACCTGCTGAGTATTCCTCTGCAACTATATTTTAATCACAGGTGATGTTTACATTACTGATTGAAGAGCTTGCAGATATAAGTACATATATTTTGACTTCTACCTTACTGCTATCTGAATAAAACAATTTTTCTATTATTCTTAACTTTAATCTGAGATAGCTATGTGTTCCAGATACACAGATAGCTTGAGATGGCAATAAAACTTTTGCACTACCTGTCTCTTTTACTCTGATTTTCTACTGCAATTAGGCAGCATTAGGTACCACCAGTATCTGGTATCTACTGTAACATATCCTAAATAAATGGTAGGCAGATTCAGAGAGCTGCAAGACCAAAGCAGGCTTTCATCCAGCTTCATAAATATCTTGAGGC